ATATCAGTGATTAAACTGATGAACAGAATGTGTGTTATAGTCATGCTCAACACAAAGCTAACCCTCTAAAGTTTAGGTAAATATTAGAACAGAATATCAGTGATTAAGCTGATGAACAGAATGTGTATTATAGTCATGTTCAACACAAAGCTAACCCTCTAAAGTTTAGGTAAATATTAGGACAGAATATCAGTGATTAAGCTGATGAACAGAATGTGTATTATAGTCATGCTCAACACAAAGCTGACCCTCTAAAGTTTAGGTAAATATTAGGACAGAATATCAGTGATTAAACTGATGAACAGAATGTGTATTTTAGTCATGCTCAACACAAAGCTAACCCTCTAAAGTTTAGGTAAATATTAGGACAGAATATCAGTGATTAAACTGATGAACAGAATGTGTGTTTAGTCATGCTCAACACAAAGCTAACCCTCTAAAGTTTAGGTAAATATTAGGACAGAATATCAGTGATTAAACTGATGAACAGAATGTGTATTATAGTCATGCTCAACACAAAGCTAACCCTCTAAAGTTTAGGTAAATATTAGGACAGAATATCAGTGATTAAACTGATGAACAGAATGTGTGTTTTAGTCATGCTCAACACAAAGCTAACCCTCTAAAGTTTAGGTAAATATTAGGACAGAATATCAGTGATTAAACTGATGAACAGAATGTGTGTTTTAGTCATGCTCAACACAAAGCTAACCCTCTAAAGTTTAGGTAAATATTAGGACAGAATATCAGTGATTAAACTGATGAACAGAATGTGTATTATAGTCATGCTCAACACAAAGCTAACCCTCTAAAGTTTAGGTAAATATTAGGACAGAATATCAGTGATTAAGCTGATGAACAGAATGTGTATTATAGTCATGCTCAACACAAAGCTAACCCTCTAAAGTTTAGGTAAATATTAGGACAGAATATCAGTGATTAAGCTGATGAACAGAATGTGTATTATAGTCATGCTCAACACAAAGCTAACCCTCTAAAGTTTAGGTAAATATTAGGACAGAATATCAGTGATTAAACTGATGAACAGAATGTGTATTTTAGTCATGCTCAACACAAAGCTGACCCTCTAAAGTTTAGGTAAATATTAGGACAGAATATCAGTAATTAAACTGATGAACAGAATGTGTATTATAGTCATGATCAACACAAAGCTAACCCTCTAAACTTAAGGTAAATATTTAGGACAGAATATCAATGATTCAACTGATGAACAGAATCTGTGTTTTAGTCATGCTCAACACAAAGCTAACCCTCTAAAGTTTAGGTAAATATTAGAACAGAATATCAGTGATTAAACTGATGAACAGAATGTGTTTTAGTCATGCTTAACACAAAGCTGACCCTCTAAAGTTTAGGTAAATATTAGGACAGAATATCAGTAATTAAACTGATGAACAATATGTGTGTTTTAGTCATGCTCATCACAAAGCTAACCCTCTAAAGTTTAGGTAAATATTAGGACAGAATATCAGTGATTAAACTGATGAACAGAATGTGTGTTATAGTCATGCTCAACACAAAACTAACCCTCTAAAGTTTAGGTAAATATTAGGACAGAATATCAGTGATTAAACTGAGGAACAATATGTGTGTTTTAGTCATGCTCAACACAAAGCTAACCCTCTAAAGTTTAGGTAAATATTAGGACAGAATATCAGTGATTAAACTGATGAACAGAATGTGTATTATAGTCATGCTCAACACAAAGCTAACCCTCTAAAGTTTAGGTAAATATTAGGACAGAATATCTTTGATTAAGCTGATGAACAAAATGTGTATTATAGTCATGTTCAACACAAAGCTGACCCTCTAAAGTTTAGGTAAATATTAGGACAGAATATCAGTAATTAAACTGATGAACAGAATGTGTTTTAGTCATGCTCAACACAAAGCTGACCCTCTAAAGTTTAGGTAAATATTAGGACAGAATATCAGTAATTAAACTGATGAACAATATGTATGTTTTAGTCATGCTCATCACAAAGCTAACCCTCTAAAATTTAAGTAAATATTAGGACAGAATATCACTAATTAAACTGATGAACAATATGTGTGTTTTAGTCATGCTCAACACAAAGCTAACCCTCTAAAGTTTAGGTAAATATTAGGACAGAATATCAGTGATTAAACTGAGGAACAATATGTGAGTTTTAGTCATGCTCAACACAAAGCTAACCCTCTAAAGCTTAGATAAATATTAGGACAGAATATCAGTGATTAAACTGATGAACAGAATGTGTATTACAGTCATGCTCAACACAAAGTTAACCCTCTAAAGTTTAGGTAAATATTAGGACAGAATATCACTAATTAAACTGATGAACAATATGTGTGTTTTAGTCATGCTCAACACAAAGCTAACCCTCTAAAGTTTAGGTAAATATTAGGACAGAATATCAGTGATTAAACTGAGGAACAATATGTGAGTTTTAGTCATGCTCAACACAAAGCTAACCCTCTAAAGCTTAGATAAATATTAGGACAGAATATCAGTGATTAAACTGATGAACAGAATGTGTATTACAGTCATGCTCAACACAAACTTAACCCTCTAAAGTTAAGGTAAATATTAGAACAGAATATCTTTGATTAAGTTGATGAACAGAATGAGTATTATAGTCATGTTCAACACAAAGCTGACCCTCTAAAGTTTAGGTAAATATTAGGACAGAATATCAGTAATTAAACTGATGAACAGAATGTGTTTTAGTCATGCTCAACACAAAGCTGACCCTCTAAAGTTTAGGTAAATATTAGGACAGAATATCAGTAATTAAACTGATGAACAGAATGTGTATTACAGTCATGCTCAACACAAAGTTAACCCTCTAAAGTTTAGGTAAATATGAGTACAGAATATCAGTGTTTAGCTGGTGAACAGAATGTGTATTATAGTTATGATCAACACAAAGCTGACCCTCTAAAGTTATGGTGAATATTAGAACAGAATATCTTTGATTAAGCTGGTGAACAGAATCTGTGTTTTATAGTCATGCTCAACACAAAGCTGACCCTCTAAAGTTAAGATAAATATTTAGGACAGAATATCAATGATTCAACTGATGAACAGAATCTGTGTTTTAGTCATGCTCAACACAAAGCTAACCCTCTAAAGTTTAGGTAAATATTAGAACAGAATATCTGTGATTAAACTGATGAACAGAATGTGTTTTAGTCATGCTCAACACAAAGCTGACCCTCTAAAGTTTAGGTAAATATTAGGACAGAATATCAGTAATTAAACTGATGAACAATATGTGTGTTTTAGTCATGCTCATCACAAAGCTAACCCTCTAAAGTTTAGGTAAATATTAGGACAGAATATCAGTGATTAAACTGATAAACAGAATGTGTGTTATAGTCATGCTCAACACAAAACTAACCCTCTAAAGTTTAAGTAAATATTAGGACAGAATATCAGTGATTAAACTGAGGAACAATATGTGTGTTTTAGTCATGCTCAACACAGAGCTAACCCTCTAAAGTTAAGGTAAATATTAGGACAGAATATCAGTGATTAAGCTGATGAACAGAATGTGTATTGTAGTCATGCTCAACACAAAGTTAACCCTCTAAAGTTTAGGTAAATATTAGAACAGAATATCTATGATTAAGCTGGTGAACAGAATGTGTGCATGTCTCTGAGGGTGTGGGTTGGAAATCTCAGATTTTAAGTGCACCCACTGTGTCTCATGATATGACAGATTTCAATTGTTAACTTGACTCAACCCAAGGAAAGTAGTAGAATCTATTTTTCACTGAGAAAGTGTAATACCAAATATGACATATGTTACATTGACCACTTTCAAAATGCATATATGTCAATGAAGCCTCCGGTTAAGATGATTTGGATTTTACCTTACTATGCATGTTTTCAAAAAAAAATTAAAGCTGTGCCGAGAAAGGTAAATTTATTGTCAACTTTAAAGGTAAGATACCTCAGATAACCACCAGCAGACGTGTGTCAAGAATTTTAAAAAACAAAACAAATTAAACTTTTTAAATCAAAATAAGTGCTGTTTTGTTTTGTTTGTTGTTTAAAGCCACACTCAGCAATTTTTCATCTATATAACGGCGGTCTGTAAATAATCGCGTCTGGACCAACTGACATCATGAGCATAGATATACACAGTTGGGACACGATAACATGTGTCTACGTCTACCAAGTTAACGAACCTGACTCACCTCCCGTTAGTTGCCTCATACGACAACCATTGTTTGCTGAAGATCAATTCTAACTCGGATCTTCACGACAAGTAAGATATAATGAAATTGCTCAGTCGTCCACCTGACGTTCTAGTCATCGAGCCTGACTACCTCATCCTACGACAAGCATGGGCTACTGAAGACAAATTCTAACACGGATCTTCACGGGTAAAATTAATTTCCAAAATTATTTTAACCATGTTGAAATATTATTTACTGCGAACTGATACAGTTCAATTTCGGATATAATAAGGCTCATTTATTTACAGCTGAAATTCAACGTCAAATCAACTAGGTATAGGTTCTAAGGCTCCTCGGTAGTTCTGTGTGCGTACGTGTGTGCGTGCGTGTGTGCCTCCATAGATGGTTTCCAAGTACACCAAACACTGCAATAAACGGAATTCCAGTAACTGTTACATCACGGTGTGTTTAATGTGGAAGGAAAGCCCGAAGCAGACCTGAGACTTGAACCACTTTAGTGAAACCCATGAGCACGGGTATAGTCCGGACAAACCTCGAACGAACCGGAACGAACCGGAACGAACCGGGATTCAAATCAACATAACAGTTTTCTGTCGTGTGAAAGACTCTCAACAGTGCTCAGTGAATTGCGCCTAGCACGAACGCTCCTTTCATTCCCCAGGCAATTTGAGTTAACTCGTGTGAAAAACATTTAAACATTTGTATTTATGCCCAGCCTCTTCAGAAAGTAAACACTGTATACTTTGCGCATTATGTACTAAAGACATAGTGCACGTTCGTACAACCATAAAGTTTTCTTGTGTATGTTATCGTGTTTCCACCAGTGTCACTTTAAAGGCCCAGATCATGAATACGAATATATCCAACAGGTCATACATCCGAATTGCAAATACGCATTCGGGGGACCGGGATATGGCAGGCAAAGGGCTGTAAATCATACGCTTACAAGGACATTACAAGGTAGTGGTTCACAGAACCTTATCTGCCGCCATGTTGTCTGTCCAGATCGCAGCTATCCTTATTCTCCTGACTGTGTGGACAGCAGCTGATGACTTCAAAAACAAACTGCTTCTCGTGTCCATGGATGGATTCCGGTGGGATTATCTCAACAACGCATCCTCGACGCCACATTTCCACATGTTCGGAGACGGGGGAGTACGGGCCACATACATGAACGCCAGCTTCCCAACTCTCACCTTTCCTAATCATTATACCATTGTTACAGGTAAGGCTGCTGGACTGTTGACTGGGGTTGGAGGGGTGTGTGGAGTTAGGCGGCTGGGGAGGGGGGAGGGGGATGTCTTAAGATAAACTTATCCTTAGTCTCTGAATATATATACATGTATATCATTTTGACAGAACAATTAATGCCTTTTCAAGTGAAGAACCGTCCCCAATATGATAGGGGATTCTGGGCTGGGTGGAAGGGAATATAATACTGTTCGGGGACTTTGATTCAGACTTAGGACTATCAGATTTTGATAACTTCTCAGTTCCATGTATATGTAACGTATCGCCACCCCTATCACTATTTCCCTAACTAATGTTCAATTTCATCAAGGATATCATTGCCGCATCATTTGTTTCTCCCCAATCGACCTCTAATAGTTGGGATACATTTCTTTTTATTATTATCATTATCATACCCACCCTCCCACCTTCAGTGTCAACTCACTCACCATTTATGCACTTGGAATGTTCCACTGCCAGTGAAATCAAGATTAGAGACATAGCAGTATATATTTTCATAGAGTACACGGGATTTTTCCGGGATGACGGTATACCGGGTTAAGAGGTGTCGCTCATGTTGGGCAGAGATGTTAAAGCCTTTCTATATGTGCTAACTTTGTCTGCTGGTGGTCTATAGCCCATCTTTATACTGGTTTTGTTATACATAACAATATTTAAATATATACATATTTACTAGTTTAAAAAATAGATCTGTGATACTCTAGTGTTTTTACTGTCCTTTGTTTTATAGTATAGATGTTTTATTCATGTATTACTTGTTTTAGTCACGATATGCTTGAAATACTGCAGTTTTGAAAATACATACTAACTCACCCACCTTCCTATACTGGGAGATTCTCGCCGGGGTCTGGATGTCTCGATGTGTGTATATGTTACCGGGATGAGCTGGAGGACAAACAAATGAGTATGAATATCGCCCACAGCAGGTAAAGTCAGTCCGTGTGACCTAGTTGTGTGCTGTATGTTCAGGTGCACACCGTCCCTTCATCTCCGTCAGCTTAAAGGTTTATTATGTAAATACAACCATTTGGGAATTCTGACAGTGTCGACAACTTGTGACATCAGCCCCATTCACATCCGGGCTCAACTTATGAAACTAATAAACCCGTACAAGCAGCTACAGTGAACTTAAACCCATACATACATTTAACGGGGGTAAACATTCTGCCTTGTATATCTTAACTACTACATTGCATAAAGGGGGTATATATACACACAATGTTCAATGTGTAGTAAGGTGGTGCAAGAATCAGCATTGATTTTCCGGGGACAAAATTGTATATTGTGAAGGATGATTGCCTATCTTGACAAGAGTGACTTTAATATTTCATACAGTCGTCAAGCGTAGATAGGTTATTGAATTTGGCAAACATTTTGTTTCATTCAACTGTTTTGTCTACTTTTTATATCGTCTACAGATTGTATTGTAACAGGTCTTACAGATCGTTCAGCCCTCTTCCACATCTACATTACAATGAGTTTTACATCCAACAGGTCACCTATCCTGTCTAACTGCTTTTCCAGGGTCCGAATAACAGAAAACATACTCTCACTTAGTCCAGCATATAGCTAGACGACTTGCCATTATACCAATAAGGTGTGCTCTATGTAGGCCTTGGCTGGAATTCGAGTTTATTCATATGAACTAACTCTCACTGAATGACTTGACGAGTCACCCCCTCGCCTCAAAAGTATCACGTGTTACACGACTGTGTAATGCACGTGACCCGTCATCGACATCACATGGGTATCACGTGATATATAACGCCAAGCCGAATGAATGCCCAGTGACGTTCTAAAAGCTGTTAAATATAACATGTAATAGTAACTGAGAAAGTGTAATCTCAAATATATATAACATGATAATAATATATCTTATTTACTACTATCTGTTTTAGATATAATATAGTGCCTTGTGTCTCATAGGCCATATGGCCGGATGTTATATTTTATTGAATGTTTTAAGTCTATGTATGTTTTATATATAACATGTGACACACAAATAAAAATATTTTCTCTTTCTCTATAACATATGTTCCCTTGTAGCTTGCTTGTGAGTAACATTTTGCTCCTCCAAGCAGTGGTACCATGCCATGCTTGCTTTGCGATGATGATAATGATGATGATGATGATGACGATGATGATTTGGGGATTTTACGTGCGTTTTCCGACATGGTGCGTATTTCGCACAGATACATGCTCGTAGTTCCAGTAAAAAGCGGGAAAGATCTTACATAATTGGTTGCCGCGAAAGCTTGAAAATTAGTGACAGGGCGTAAATTAAAGCAATATAAATTCATTCATTTATTACATAATTGGTTTGCCGCCTTTTAGTAGTGTATTGGGAGCAGTTGAACCGCTGAGAACAAAAGGCATTTTGTCAGTACATGGTAGATCTAAGACGTATCAGTGTCATGGATGGATTACGTTTATCGTCACTCAGTAAAGCAGTGATTTCAGGCTACTTATCTAAGCTAAATATATAAGGATTACCTTGGTTTGGTTGTCAGGTCTGTGGGAGGAGAGTCATGGAATTGTTGGTAACTACATGTACGACCCCGTGTTCAATGCCAGCTTCAACCTGGGCACCAAGGAGACTCGGTGGTGGAACGGAGGAGAACCACTGTGGGTCACGGCCAAGAAGCAGGTATACTCAGTAGTTAAAATCCTATCTTCTACTACTTCTTCTTTGTTTCCTGTTAATAAACAGGACATGAGTAAGGTCACAGAAAATTTTATCGAATTTCGTTGTTTTGTTTTGTTTTCTAGTTGAAACGTCCTTTAAGTGAGTGAGTGAGTTTAGTTTTACGCCGCTTTTTAGCAATATTCCAGTAATATCACGGCGGAGGACACCAGAAATAGGCTTCACATGTTGTACCCATGTGGTGAATCGAACCCGGGTCTTCGGCGTGACGAGCGAATGCCTTATCCACTTGGGTAACAACACACATCCGCACGCACGCACGCACGCACACACACAGATCCCACCCTTCCTTCTTTTAAGTTGTATATTTATAGTTTAATATAGAGTTTGGTGGCCATTAAGAAATACGTACAGTCAGGGTAGGTAAAGGCTGGGTCAGATGTTTGATAGGCATTTAGAAGTTGGTAGGGTAATACAAGACACTTGATATGGATATGGATGTGCAACGTCTTTTATTATTTACACATGGCGTTTCTGTGCTAATACTTGTCCCTTCATCAGGTGAATGACAGCCAATAGTTACAGAGGTATATATAGTATGTACATGAAGCAACAGAGTTGTTTTTACAATAGATTAGTGAGAGAATTAAAAACTTAAATAGGGTATACATGTACATAATGTTTGTACAACATGTTTACATAGGGTGAATGGCCATAAATGGAAGCCAGTAAAGGGTATACAGTGATAGATATTAGGTGATTGGGATGTACAGCATGGTTGGTAAACACCATTGTTATAAGGTGAGGTGAGGTGAAATTGGGTTTAACGTCGTACTTGAGAATATTTCGCTCATATGACGACGTGCATGCGCGTGTATGTGTATGTGCGGCTGCTTGTACTAGCCCAGACTGAAGCTGGTTTTATAGTGCTAGCCCACTGAGAGACCATGCCGCAGTGAAGCATGAATACCCCACTCAGACACATTATACTGACTCCGAGCCGACCAGTCCTTGTTGTACCCATTAATGCCGAGCGCCAGACAGGGACCAACAAGTGCCATATTTTAACGTCTTTTGGTATGACGCGGTCGGGGATCGAACCCGCGACCTTCCGCTCTCCGGGCGGACGCTCTAACCACTACACCACGGAGGCGGTCTCATTGTTGGAAGGAAATTGGTTAATGCACCGGGCATTGGGAAGGAAGACACCCTGGTCCCTATTCAGCTCAGGTTTAGACCGTTTGATGTGGATACCTTCCTTTAATGTTCATTTACGCCAGTTGCTAATGTTCACGGCTAAGATTTCTAAAGGCTGAGTGATATTAAGAGAATACCGTCATGAAATGTGATTGTAAAACATCCAATAAAACACGGTCAATCCAAAACAACATCCACCACTTTGACGTCTTATTAAGGTAACTACAACAAAGAGCAAACAGTGTAAGTGTTAACATAACTAGTATGAAGTACGAAGTCTTAAGTTCGAGTCCCAAATTGGTACCGATTATGAACCTTCATCTTTCACGGGCATAACCCGTGAGCTTCATGCAAGTCTAGCAGGGCGTGGAGTCATCCGTCAGATGACATCCTTTGCTGACGGGGCTAACCTCTTTGGTCATGTGGACAAGGCGTCCGACTTTGGATTAGAAGGTCCCTGGTTCGAATCCCATCTCGGGACATTTTATGGCATCTCTGACCGGCATGTGCAGTGCGCCTTGGCACAGCCAAAATATTGTTAACAATGCTTTTGTTCTGAAGGGTTTTATTTATTTTGAAGGGTTTGAAGGCTGGGACATACTTTTGGCCTGGCAGCGAGGCTGAGATTCAAGGTGTACGACCTGACTACTGGTACCCCTATACGGACAACACGCCTTATAAGGAGCGAATTGACACCGTCGTTGACTGGTTCAAGAACCAAAATATCCAACTTGCCACTCTGTATTACCCAGAACCCGATAAAACTGGACACAGCTTTGGGCCAGAATCACAAGAGGTCAGGGACAAGGTCATGTACATGGATGAAATCCTTGGTTACCTCGTGCAGAAGATGAAGGAGAATGATCTGGAAAATGAAGTCAACGTCATCGTTACCAGTGACCATGGAATGGTTGAAGTGGATAACATCAATAAGGTAAGTCGCGTGTTACCGTAGACAGATCCTACGTTTCAAAAGGTATGCGTGTTGATGACGTAACTGATGACGATTTCAGTATATCGCCACCGAGCAGAGATGGGCGAATTCCCTCTCATATATTCTGCTCGAAAACCAAGTGATAATAAAATATCATGCCCGATGAAGACCTCAAGGAAAAGGGTGTTTTTTTCGGAATATATAGTAACGATAACTATAAATGATTGATAAATCCAGGTTTAACAGAACCCCAAAGATGACCTTAACGTCTACAGACATGGCATCGCCATGTCAGGGGGTAAGTATCCTAGATTGATTTTAATTGATTAATTGTTGATTACGCCACACTCAGCAATATTCCAGCTATATGACGGCCAAAGAGAGTTTTTATGGATGTCAACTTCTTTATTATGAATATACACAACGTTTCGGAGTATATCCTTACTCCTTCATTAGGTGAAAAAACCCAACTCTTTTCCTTATGTGTATTACTTCTAAATGCCTTTCAAAGGCCTATATGGCGGCGGTGTGTAAATAATCGAGTCTGACCAGACAATTCAGTGATCAACAGCACGAGCATCGATCTACGCAATTGGGATACAATGACGATGCGTCAACCAAGACATCGAGTCTGACCACCCGATCCCCTTAGTCGCTCTTACGACAATCATGGGTTACTGAAGATCAATTCTAACCCCGGTCTTCACGGGTAAGGTAACCTAGGCCTTTGACATAAATGCAGTTGACGTTTGATGTGTTACGGGTTGTTATTTAACATGTGTGTATAATATTCCGTATATGTTGAGGTAACCCTCCCTAAAACTGACAAACCTGATGTATATAATTCGGTTTTTCTTAACTAAGGATTCCCAAGGACTGTTTACATCAAGTTTAGTAATGTATACCTTGATAATATTTAAGCAACTTTTACTGCAACAATTTCTTTCCATAAGTTTTCAACCGTGAGACCTCGACCGCTGAATTTTCCCTGAGGACTATTTGTGAACATGTGGAAGACAACATAAATATCGTCTTGAAGCAAGCATTTTCGGGGACACTTGAATGAATGGATTTGAATGAATTTGTCTTGAATTGGCGTTTTTCCTTTGATGGAGTGAGTGAGTATGGTTTTATGCCGCTTTTCGCAATATTCTACAATATCAAGGCGGGGACACCAGAAATTGGCACCTTTGTTCGAATGAGCAAGTATACTGGACAAAATAAGTTAGGGATATTGGTATTTTTATAATTGATATTTTATCAGTGTGTCAAAGAATAAATAGATCAGTATTCAAAGTTTCAAAATTTACATATATCCTTAACTATTTTTGTCCTGTATACATAATGTCATGGCTCCTGCAGCCTTCGCCAATGCTTCAGTGCAAATATATATAATTATTATCACACCTTATATGACGGTATCAGTGATGAAGTGGTATAAGTTTAAACCTAAACAAGTCTGATTTTGTTTTGTGGATTTTCTAAACCCGGTACAAGCGTTCGCTCATGACGCTGAAGACCCGGGTTTGATTCCTCACATGGGTGAAATGTGTGAAGCCCATTTCAGGTGTCCCCGTCGTGATATTGCTGGAATATTGCGGACAATCTCACTCACTCACTCACTAGAGTCAGTACGTGTTATGGACATGTGTCCAGATCTGTTTCCCTGTACCGCATAGCCATGTTCTTGGGTTTTGCCATAATGTATCAAGCATGACATACTGTGATGTAACTGGAATATTGTTAAAACTGGCACTAAGCCGGATCCGTGTGTGTGTGTGTGTGTGTGTGTGTGTGTACTATTAAAATAAATAAGAACAATGTTTGGCAAGCCAGGGAATTCGTGGACCCCCAGCCCCTTTGAAAATTCCTGGATCTGTTGTGAACTATTAAAATAAATAGAACAATGAACAGACGTATGGCACGTTGTTTATCTCATCGAATTTAAGTACCATTCGCTGAAATATTTTCAAACATGATATTTGATGAGAGAAAATTTATTATCTTTAAGGTTGTGGATATTACCGATTACGTGGACATGACGAAGGTCGATCGTGTCCCGATTTACGGCCCCATGATGCATATTCTGCCGGTAGAGGGCCAGGACGACGCCATTATACAGAGTCTGGCTGGAGTGGAACACATCACAGTGTACAAGAAGGAGGATGTTCCAGAACGTCTCCATTACCAGGACAACAGAAGGATCATGCCCATTATCATCATAGCGGATGAGGGATGGCAGTTAACCACTGTAAGTCACAGGTCATAGATGTACACGTAGATGGTGCTTGCATGTCACGAAGGAAGGGGAGATAACTACTGTATGTTATTTGTCCATGTAGATGGGTTATACATAAATTCATCATGGAAGGGGAGATAGCCACTGTACTGACCAAACAAGTGCATGGGTCATACAGATGTTCACCATAGCAGATGGGGGAGGGCAGATAACCATTGTAAGTCACTGGTCATGCACGTATTTATCATATCTGAGCAGAGGTGGTCAATGAGTAAGTCCCTGATCACAGAAGGATAAATAATCATACCTTCATGCCCGCTCCTTCCCAGCGCATAACGACCTTTGTTACACTCCCACTATAAAAGACTGGAGAAACCTTCAGTAGAACCCCAAATGGTGTGACATTAATATAAGTGTGTATTTTGGATTATCATTATAGTTGATTGGGAAGAATTTGTTTTCTTATATTTGATATTGCAGTAAACGGACAAGCGTCAGCTTTCCCTGACGTTATCTTTGTATGTTCTACATAACACTTGAAATATATAATAAAAAACTTGTTGGTCCCTGCTTGGCGCTCGGCAAACAACCAAAAACAAAACCAAGTTACCCTCCTAAGTTAAACCAGCTTCATCTCTGTTACGAGCTCTGTTCTATACATGTTTCTCGGCCATCAAGAACAAGCGTGGAGTTGTGGCTGGTGGCATTAATAAGGATGTTCCGGTCGTCTGAGGCGCCGTTGGGTATGGTATTTGGATTAAAGGGCCACCTAAAACAAGAACAAAGAGAGTAATGCAAATGAGATGATTAACCAATCCGCTTCATAATTTAGTTTATACTTTAAAACCGCAAGTAGTTACTATTTCATTTCTAAAAGTAAGAACTCGTTCAATAAAAAAGCAGACCGTCAGAAAGAGAGAAACCGATAAAGTGGTTTAAAAGTCAATACAGACCTTATAAGTGTTTATCAAATTGTATGCTGGTCCGCAAAGAAACGTCACCTTTCAGAACAAATTGCAAAATTTTTGTTCTTAAATGATGGTGGGTTTTATGATTGTACTGTTGTGTTAACATGTTTTCAATACAGATTGACAGTTATTACCAACATTTTTCTGATGAAAAAGCACATATGGACCCAACACACTTAAAAGGCAGACGTGGTAAAAGGTTCCGTATAACATTCGTGAAAATGAAAATGTACGTGCATATCGTGACAACCCTACCACTGAAAGCGAGTCCCAAGCTCGCCTGAAATCATTCTTGTTTTGACACAGTCGCCATGCTACGACTTACGAGAGATCGGAGGAACCAAGCCTTGGGACGATTGCAAGTTGGCCAGACTGCACGGAGGGTAGCAAATCATTTTAATGTTCATGTTGGACCATCTACGCAGTGGACTTTCAGTAACATCACAACGTTAAGACCGACAGATGGTGCGCAACCATCTGCAGGATCGCTTCACCAGAGCGACGGAAACAGCACATTGAGGCTCATAAAAGACCCGTTAGTGTCGATACAGTGCGTTGACGTTTGGTCTTGTCCTCATCGCTCGTCACCACCAAAACCGACTGCAATGGGTAACTCAGCATCGGCGTTATCGACAATGGAGAACTGTGCTTTTTTCTGATGAAAGGCGATATTGTGTTTCGACAGCCGATGGCAGAGTGAGTATGGAACAGGCGTGGGGAACGGTGTTCCAATGAGTGTATTGTTGAGAGAGACTCTTGGGGTGATCCAAACGTCATGGTGTAGGATGCAGTCAGTCTGAACCTGGACCGAATCTCGGTCCAGGACGAGGGAACGGCGTGACAGCTGCTCGCTATATTGACCAAGTCATAAGTCCCCACGTTGTACCACATTTTTGACGTCACAGAAATCACACCTTCCAGCAAGACAACGCTATTGGCCACACTGCCAGAGCAACATTGGACTTCATAGCATCCAAACCCTTCAATGGCCTCAGTCCGGATTTAAGTCCAATAGAACGCCTGTGGGACGAGATTCAAAGAAGACTGAATGACCTTCAACCAAGACCGACAACTGGGCAGGACTCGATCAGGCATTTCGCAGAGTATGGAACCCAAGTGCCTATGGCCTTCATAAACCGGATAATTCATTCCATATACAGATGACGCAAGGCCGTCATCGATACCCATGGAGGCCACACACCATACTGACTTTGAGTCATCCTAATGGTACCATATTTGGTGATTTTGTTTGTGTGAACTCTAAATGTGATTCCCAAAATGGGTTAACCATAATTGTCAAGTTTAAACTCAATCCTCCGTTTTGACTGTTTTAAATTTTAAATTAAAGTGTGTGCTTTAAGACACCTCTATCGATGTGGCGTTTCTTTTGCGGTTCAGTATATATCAAATTCTACGGATGCAGACACGAAGTTTAATATTGCCCGCTGAATGGAACCATAAAATATTTGGGTCCAGAAGTGTACTTAGAGAAAATGAGCTTTCCTTCTCAAGTACTGCACTTCTTAAATATAATCTGTTATGATTGTGGCCTGGGCATTTAGGAGTATTTCCGCCACGATGTGTACATACGGGAGAGGCCTCTTTATCTGTGACACTGTGGTAGGCATTTAAACCACAGTGTCCAAGACGAAGTATAGTGATTATGACCGCTTCACCTTTCTTACGTCGACGAATAATCCAATTTGATTTTACATGAGGAAAAACTGAGTACGTTGTGTCGGCCAGCAGTCCCAGCAGTTCCAGCATCCCACAACTTGAGGTGAACGATTTTACCAATATGTAGTCAAAATCGCTTGGTTACGGTCTGAATTCCGATGTCGTTACTTAATGAGGTTGCAAGCCAGATTTCGCCAGAAGTTGGTCTGCTATCTCATTGCCATGAAGCCCAACATAAGTTGGAATCCGCACAAAATCACAAGTAATATACTTTCAGTTCAGATATGTTTCCAGCTTTATTATTTCATAAAGGGGACGTTGGGTTCTAATGGTTAAACGGGACCCGGGTCCCCGCCGTGATGTTGCTGGAATAGTGCTAAAAGCGGCGTAAAACCAAAATCAGTCAGTCAGTAATTATTTCATAAACAATGTCACTTCTTGAACCATTGGTACCAGATTCGATTGCTTTAACATCTGCCATGGTGACAGTAAATATAAATATGAGGCGCTGTTATTAGCTGGAAGAGTTGCCTCCCTTGGACACGCAGGAAACCTATGGTTGTGGGTTCTAATCCCGTTTAGTCCGGATTTGTCTGTACCACATACGTGTTTATGGGCTTCGCGAATATGTGAGAACTGAATCTTTTCGGGCTACCATCCCATATCCTGCGGACAAACCGTGACACAACTGACATTGTCCGAAGCGGCGTTAAACCCACCTCACTCACTCATATTTCCAATTTCTTCTCATATATTTTCAGAACAAGACCAGAAAGGCCAAAAGTACACTAAAAGCCACCCACGGTTACGACAACGCATTGATGTCTATGAAGCCAATATTCCTGGCTAGGGGACCCAACTTCAAGGCCAACCTAACGTCAGATCCAATCCAGAATGTCGACATCTACCCTCTTGTTTGTAAACTGCTCAACATTAAACCAGCGCCGAACAACGGAAGTCTGGCCCGTGTCAATGCCTTCATCCAAGATACGCCTCCAGTTTCCGGGTCTCCAAGTAATGCGCCAGTACTGCTTTTCGAGTGTTTGTTTGTATTCACAATCTTTGCCTACCTTATACTGTAGATATATTTAACCTGAACACACTTAACAGACATATCTCACATAATAATTAACGAAGATGCATTCAGACGATTAAAGTTAAAAAATATTGTAGTTTTCCGGAGAATATATATTTTACTTTTTCAACACATTTTTTCCGCACGTGGATAGTGAAAAAATAGGACTTTCGATTAGCTTACAGCAAATACATATGCAACCGTGTTCTAGAGATTCACGGGTTAGTATGAATCCATCTCATCCTGTTCCAACAGGTAGTATGGACGACCTTGACCTTGACCTTGAAATCCAACTCACATGGCGAATTCAGCAATTATCAATGAAAGTTCTTTTTATCATTTTTGTCTTTGTAGAATATGCTATTTTTCATCGATGAAGTGGGAAAAGATCTGCCCAAAAGATATATTCTAAACGACGACGGCAGATTTTAAAAAATAATCATCTGAAGTTCGTTTTTAATCATCAAGAGTTATGTCTCTTCTATTATCGATCGATAATGTTCTCCTCCGACAACAATCAGGGCGAAACACTTCATACCGGAGCAGAAATAGAAAAGAAACGGATGAAAAAGAAACACACAAAAGTATATTAAAATCTAAATATCTTACACAGCCATTTCCATTTGACAATTGTGTCAAAATCACATGCAAAATTCGGAAATCTCTTGACCACCTTGAAACGTCTTTTTTGTCTGTTTTTGCAGTCTCCGAGTGATATAATCAAACGACTTGTGAGCTATGTGACAATCTTTGTTATCTTCATGGGAAGAGTATGATCGGTTATACCTAGAAAAATGTGAAACGAAAGGCTGTAGCTTAAGGCTCGAAGTAAGGGGAAAGTTGCAAGTCCTCCGTCCTCAAATGCAATCATGTGGCGAGTTTCCGTCACTCCCATCTCTCTGCACATATGTCAGTATGAAAGAGATAAAGGGGATGCTAGCCTATTGTTTCTCGTCTAAGTGGGTACATCAGTTGTAGTTGGCTATTCCTCCATTATTGATGCCATGTTAAGTTTATCTCAAAAATGCATGGCAAAATGCCCTCGCTTTAATATTTACAAATCCAAGGAGAAATTTTGTCTCGTATGCATAAGGATACGAACCTTAGTAACATTACAATATGCCACATTCATTTTAGAATAACAGTCTTTGTTTCGTGACGATGGTGTCGCATCCATCAAGGTGCACTCTCGTCTATCCGGACGCATTAAGACTGCTGTCACTGTTGGAACGCGACTCGTGTTTTACCGCCGTCAGTCCATTTCATTGACATTGTTTGGAATCCTTTATACATCTTTAAAAAGCATTCTGAATGTTAATATGTTGTCTTCAGATGAGAGATATCTTAATGGAGAGAATACTCATTTCACCGCCCACTGATTTAAAAAAAATATATCTTGGTTAAACAGGGTGACATATTTTGTATGAAATTCAATGAACATTTTATAGTTTACTGTTATGACTGACTCAAGTATATCTAAAGAAATAAACAATGTGTATTGTTGTCTTGTTTGATCTCATTTCTAAAGGTGCAACAAAAGGAGGGTATGTCTGGTTTTGAGGAATTACAGCTCTAAGCAATCGCGCCATTTCATCTCTAAGCAATCGCGCGATTTCATCTCTAAGCAACTAGTTTTATTTTTTGTGTCTGTGATATTCTAGTTGGTTTTACTGTCCTTCGTTGGCAGGTTTTTAGTGATTTACATGTATTATGATGAAGTTAAACACTTGTTTTAGTCACGATATGGCTGAAATATTGCCAACGTGACTTTAAATTTTAACTCATTCACTCACTCATCTCTAAGCAATACTGACTGACTGAGTTTGGTTTTACGCCGCTTTTAGCAATATTCCAGCAACATCACGGCGGGGAATACCAGAAATGGGCTTCACACATTGTACCCTTGTGGGGATTCGAACCCGGGTCTTCGGCGTGACGAGCGAACGCTTTAACCACTAGGCTACCCCACCGCCCCCTCTAAGCAATAGGTGTCATGTATACTGTAAGACCAAGTCACAGCTTCTGTTGAAACTGTTTGAACATCACTTCTGACAGCACGTTTATAGAACAATATTAACATTTTTAAAGAAGTTCAAAAATATATATCAAATTCCAAAAGGTTCAGTGATTGGATATAATGTGTATGATCTAAATAATTCATGTATTCATTGTATTGTATATATCATTTCGTATATATCTTTCTATCCCTGTACATATAGTTTGTTTCACTTTTGCATGTAAGCACTGTAAATAGGAGAGGGTTTCACTAAGTTGGCACAACTTGTACCCAATCCATTCTCTTGAATAAATATGTTTAAATCAAATAGAACAAGTGTTTGTTGTCAATGACTTCATATCCAGGTGAACTACAACGTCGTGGAACTTACCAATAAAAGATGATGAGTTCCGTTTTACGCCGCACCCAGCAATATTCCAGCTTTATGGCGCGGACCACATCCCTTGCAAACGTGGCAACAATTCGTTTCAGTATGATGTCTCTACAACACTGTCGGATGAGCCTTGCTAGCAAAGTATGAAGTGGGGTGATGCCAACATATTCTTTGACCTTGAAAACCATCAAAATCAACAATGACGCTCCATGGACGTGTATGGGGCTACCCATACGGTATGTTAAGGGGTGGTGATAAAGAGGTCAGGTGAGGTGAAATGGGGTCTAACGTCGTACTTAAGAATATTTCTCTCATATGACAACGTGCATTCGTGTGTATGTGTGGCTGTTTGTATTAGCCCAGACTTAAGCTGGTTTTATAGTGCAAGCCCACTGAGACACTGAGATACCATGCCGCAGTTAAGCATGAAGTACCCCACCCTGACACATTCCATAGACCAGTCCTTGTTTTACCCATTAATGCCCTAGCTTTATTTGTGATAAACTTGAAATGTTACAACTTGAAGCAGCAAGAATGTTACCGGATTGTCTAAATTCGCTTCAAGATAAAGTTTATAAAGTGAAACTGGTTGGTCACCATTGAAAGTTAGACGAACACAAAGAACACTCTGTACATTCTACAAAATTGGTTATATGCAAGCTCCTGATTACCTGATAGATTTACTTCCACCTTTTACTGAAACCATTTCCGGATACAACTTGCGATTCCTAAATTTCGCACCTCAGTTCTCCAAAAGTCATTTATTTATGATTCTGCAAGTTTATGGAATGCTCTCTCCTCTTTAAGAAAATGTACAAATTCATTATCATCGTTTAAATGAAAGTTATCTGGGGGAAAATGACAAAGTTCCAAAATATTTTCTATTTGGTTAAAGAAAGACAAATATACTACATACGAAGTTAAGTAATTCATTACGTGCAGATCTGTTTCGTGTTAATCTATTATAGAGAAGAGCTTGCAGTTGTGGTGCTCCGGTGGAAGATGCTAACCATTTCTTTTTAAACTGCCCAAAATCTGTCAGCTGCCGTTTTGATTTGAAGCAGCAAGATTTGAACTATCAAAAGTTCACTTAGACATTGATACCATTCTTTACGGCAACCCTGCCCTGCCAAATACTATTAATGAAAATAGCTTTAGACATGTGCATAAATACATTGTACGAAGTAAGCGCTTCGATTAATGAATAACATGTCGAATATTATTATGTCCATTCATTACGTCCATTCATTATTGTTCATGTTTCTGACGGGAGCGGGCGGTAATAAGTTACATAACTTGTGCCCAATCCAATACGATACGCGATACACATGTACCTATATCGATTGATATTTTAATCCCGTTTCGTTTCAAACATAGACCTATTCATTCATATTAATGTTCAACAAAAATGCCAGTAATTAAGTATAACGAAATAGGTATCGGGAGATAGCCGTGGTATGACCAATTACCAACGACTCTTACTTAACCCACAGACATTGCTCCTCCTTCAAGGCCCATATGTATGCACGTTTATTATTGTTCTGAGGTCAATCCCTGGGTATCTCTGCCCTGCCAAAACATCGAAAATAATTGATCATGTTTGTTAAAATTTTGAAATTCAGAAGTAACCAACAAAAACGCGGCAATACGACATTTTGATGTCATTGTCGCTCTTTCATTTTTAAGATTTTGTTTGCGCACGTACGATAAAATTATGAAAGAATGCGCATGCGTGTGTATGCCGCCATTTGCTCTTGCGTCGTCTTATGCTCTCCGTTGTAGATTTCCGTGCATACATTAGTCAAATGTGTTCTTTTACCTCATTTCAAGGTTGTTCGAAGCCGTGAAATACGGTAAACACCTCACGAAACCTAATTCCCTATCTTAAATCCTCAATTCGTTTCATGCATATATCTATAGTATGACCAGAAATTATTGAGAATTTTAGGAATATGTATAATTGGATTTCTAGTATAAACAACCTTGAACAGCTATCAAGTGATTGGTTTCATCAAGAGAGACAACTCCGTCAATCCTTTTTCATTAGTTTGTGAAGAGTTACCCCCCTTTGTTTACTTGCTAGCGGACGACATTTTCAGTGATCCACAGTATAGATGATTCAGAGAAGAGGAAGTTGATTTTAGAGTATTATAATAAAGACATCAGATCAGCTAAAGTGATTTCAAGTAAAACAGGCATCCCTTTGTCCACTGTTTATCGTGTTTTGAAAAATATTGCAAATGAATGTGGAATTGAGCACCAGGGAGGCGCAGGTAGGCCCAGAAAATTGACTGTCGGTGACAGGAGGCGGCTTGGTATTTTTAGAAAACTTAGGAAAACTAGAGGAACTATGGCTGTCTGTAAGGAGACAATTAGAACTGAGCTGCATGCAATGGGTTGGCAGAAAAGTCGAGGAATTCCATCACCGATCATGAAACCTGAACAAAAGGAGCGAAGGTTGAACTGGTGCTTAAAGCATAGAAATTTTAACTGGGACAATGTGATTTTCTCAGATGAAAGTTCTGTGTGGATGTTTCCTAATACACTGAAATTCTGGACCAAACAAACTGAAAAACCTTTGTATCAGCGCCCAAAGTACAGTCCGAAATTTAACGTGTGGGGTGGCATATCTGTGTTAGGGGCAACGCCCCTCTGTGTATTTGAAGGGAATATGAACAGTGAACGGTAAACAGATATTCTCGAGGGACATTTACTTCCATCTGCTAACGTGTTCTATGGAAAAAAAATTATTTTCCAGCAGGACAACGACCCTAAACATCGTTCAAAGCATTCACAGGCCTGGTTTCGGACCCCAAATATGACATTATTAGATTGGCCAAGCTATAGCCCTGACCTAAATCCAATAGAATATGTTTGGGGACTTATGAAGGAAAGTGTCAATAAGAAAAATCTGACAAATATTGCTGAAATGAAAGAAGAGGTGGTCCCATATGGGGACAGCATGGACCACGACTTTCTAACTTCTTTGATCAGTAGTATGCCCCGCCGCATTGAAGCCTGCATTGCTGCCCATGGTGACTTGACAAAATACTAACTGTTCACCTTTCTTTGAATCTGGAGTTCTGCTCTGCTAATATTCACATTTAATACGTGAGTAATGAGTGAAAATTGTTTAAAAAATTACAATCTTTAAATTCTCAATAATTTCTCGTTGTACTGTATATGGCATAAACTAATGATATACGGGCTGGGTTTTGTATGTCATATTTAATGTGTTCTGTTGTCATCTGAATTATAAGTAGTTTTGAATGCCCGGAAGCTTATAACTTCTACATGCTTCCTTTCAAATCAACAATTACTTATAGTTCCGCCATTCTAGGAGTTGGTGAATCAATAATGAGAAACATGACTTTATGGATAACAACGTCTTGTTTATTGCATAGGGAGACGTTTGAGTGTAGATTCTTACACCATTATCAAGCTAAAAGTGACTACAACCATCTAATGAGAAGTATATCTACATAGTATGTTGTGACAAACAGCAGATTAACATTAACAACAGCATGTAATAGAATAACAAGTGACACATAATTTGACGAGGCTAGCTGGGGAGGTTGCAGATTCAGGCGTGGTCAGTTTTTATCTTTTGGCTGGAGTGTGGTCGAGATTTTCCTCTTGACAAACATTTAGTAGTGTACTGGTTGAGGTTAGTAAATCCATGCTGCAGGTGATCAAGTTCATGTTCTTGGTCATGATCATGGCTGCTGGAACTAATGTTCTTGGCCCGCTAGGTCAGGTCTGAGATGACACCAGACTTAGTTTTAGGGAGAGTGGGTGGAGTTGAAATGAATGTAGCCTACTGGTCAGAATAGGTGGGTTTTCTGTAGACTGTGGCTCTCATTTTCATTAAAATGTCGCATTGTCGCGTGTGTAGTAAAACGTTATTATACATAGTATACTCAATATTTTAACAAAGCGCGACAACGCGACATTCAAAGCCCTTTATTACCCCGTGCATTCTCAATCCCAATAGGAGTATTCGACCCAAGCTGACTATGTCATACTGGAGGGTTAAGTCATATTACCATCTCATTCTACCTGGTATCCATCGATACCATCGAAGGAAGAGATTGAGAATGAGAAATGTAAAGTTTCTCGACATAAAGAGAAAGTTGGCAATCGAAAGTTCAAGTAATCTCTGTCGTGGGGTAGCCTAGTGGTAAAAGCATTCGCGTTCACGCCGAAGACCCGGGTTCGATACAATGTGTGAAGCCCATTTCTGATGTCCCTCGAGGTGATACTGCTGGAATATTGCTAAAAGCAGCCTAAAACTCAACACACTCACTCACTCCAAATATGCAAGGATGAAGCGGTTTCACGGGTGTCCTTTATTTCTAGTTCAGGTAGGTAAATGAGTGAAATGGATTTGGCTGTTTGATCATTATTGGTCTTGGACCTCTTCATACCTTTTGTGTGTAAATTGTTCAACGTTCACCCAGCGCCGAATACGTCTGGATCGTGTCCACGTCCTTAACCGGGACATTCCTACAACGTCCTATGTTCAAGTGGTGACGTCACATGTTGTTTACAGGGCTCATAGGTACACGTATACTTCTGATATATATGGGATGGTGGGGTAGCCTAGTGGTAAAAGCGTTTGCTCGTCACGCCTAAGCCTCGGGTTCGATTCCCCACATGGGTACAATGTGTGGAGTCTATTTCCGGTGTCTCCGCCGTGATATTCCTGAATTTTATTTTAAGGTATTAATGAATTAACAAGCAGTTCCTCGAACGAGAGTCCGTTCGCTGCAGAACCGTACCGATGAAAAGTCAGATAGATATACACTCGAAAGCAACAAATCGTCTCAAATTGCATGAAAGTTAGTCATTTGTCAGTACCACATCGTCACTATATTCAGATGTTGGCATGAAGAAGGGGGGGGCAATTGTTTATCACGTAAATGTTCGTGATTTAATGACTAATGTACGTCCTGCACGTCCCCACGGTCCCTAGTTTGGTAATCTACCTTCAGTTGTTGACGATCTATACCCAATTTTATATATTGTACTGTCCTAAATAGTGACATCATTCTTAACTCACACTCACTGTCAGTTTCAAATCTCAAACTGTGATATTCAAGTGGCTTTACTGTCTTTGTCGACAAATTTATCGATTATGTATGTATGATTTGTTTTAGTCACGATATGGCTGAAATATTGTCAATGTAACTATAATCTCAACTCACTCACTCGAGTCATAGTCGGGACGAACCAGGATTCGAATCAGCAATCATTGTTTTCTGGCGTGGTGCGCCTCGCACGGACGGCCCTTTCGTTGCCCAGGCAATATGAGTTAAATCGGATGAAATAGCCAAACATTTGTATTTACAAACATTATGTGCCCTGCTACATCAGAAAGTAAACATGCTTGTTGTAAGTGGCGACTAACGGGACTGGTTGGTCAGGCTCGCTGACTTGGTTGACACATGTCATCGGTTCCCAATTGTGTAGGTCGATTCATGCTGTTGATCACTGGATTTTCTGGTCCAGACTCGATTATTTACAGACCGCCTTCATATAGCTGGAATATTGCTGAGTGCGGCGTAAAACTAAACTCACTCACTCACTCAGGAAGTAAACAACAGACCGCATTATATAACAAAGACAGTATTACTTTGTGCACGTTCGCACATCTGTGTTGTCTTTGTAATTATGTTTCCACCAGTGTCGCTTTAGCGGCCCAGATCATGAATACGAATATATCCAACAGGTCATTCATCTGAAATGCAAATATATATACGCATGCCGAGTCAGGGGGCCACACAGGGCATTAGAAAGGTAGTGGTTCACAGAACTTCATCTGCCGCCATGTTGTCTGTCCAGATCGCAGCTATCCTTGTTCTCCTGACTGTGCTGATAGCAGCTGATGACTTCAAGAACAAAGTGCTTCTCGTGTCCATGGATGGATTCCGATGGGATTATTTAAACAATGCGTCCTCGACTCCCCATTTCCACACGTTCGGAAAAGGGGGAGTACGGGCCACATACATGAACGCCAGCTTCACAACTCTCACCTTTCCTAATCATTACACCATCATTACAGGTAAGGATGCTGGACCGCTGACTGACGGGCGGCTGGATGTCTTACGATAAACTTATGCTTAGTCTCTGAATATGTATAATTGTTACAGAACAACTAATTCTTTTTAAATTGAAAAGGGTTCAGGGCTGGACGGAAGGGAATTTCATGTGCTTCAGAGACTTTGATACTGACTAATCTTAGGACTATCACATTTTGATGATCGCCCGCTCCACAGTATATGTAACGTACCGCCGACTCCAGCACTACAATGTATGACCACGCCATACATAATGTTCACTTTCACTAAGAAATAGTGTGATTATTTTCACCCCAATACGCCACTTGTAGTTGAGAAACATTTTGGCTATTCCTCTATTGGGGTCATTATTATATCCTCACAATACATATATATGAATATATACATATTAGTTTTAAAACTATATCTGCGATACTATAGTGCTTTTATGTCATTTGTTTTAAAGCTAAAGATGTTTTGTCAATGTATTAATTGTGTTAGTCAGGATATGCGTGAAACATTGCTGTTTAGAATATGCATACTCTCTCACCCACCTTCCTGTACTGGGAAATTCTCGTAGGGGGTCCGGGATGTCACCATGTGAGTGTTACCGGGATTAGCTGGAGGACAAACAAATGAGTATGAATACCTTTACCAGGTAAAGGCAGTCGGTGTGACCTAGTTGTATGTTGTATGTTCAGGTGCACACCGTCCGTCCATCTCCGTCAGCTTGAAGGTTTATTATCGAAATACATTTATTGGGGAATTCTGACAGTGTTGACTACTTGTGTCATCAGCCCGATTCAGACGCCGACTCAGCTCATTAACGTGGGCGGTGGGGTAGCCTAGTGGTTAAAGTGTTCGCTCGTCACGCCGAGGACCCGGGTTCGATTCCCCACATGGGTACAATGTGTGAAGCCAATTTCTGGTGTTCCCCGCCGCCGTAAAACCCAACTCACTCACTCAATCACTCACAGACCCCACACAAGGCTATTCAGCTAAAATGAGTTTAGACCCTTAGATCTGCTCTCTATATCTTAACGATTATATTGCATACAGAAGGATAGTTATATACATGTATAAGTTCATTGCGTAATAAGGTAGTAAGCTTGAAACATTCTACAATAAATTGAAGGAGCTTTGCATAAATTAGCCTGACAAAATTGGTTTATTACACGTAGACAGATTATTGAATTCGGCATTTTGTTTCATTCAACTGTTTTGTCTACTTCTTGTAACGTCTACAGCTTGTAGTGTAACAGGTCTTAACAGGTGTAACAGCCCTCATCAACATCTACATAACAATGAGTTTGGTATCCAGGTCACCTGTCCTGTCTAACTGCTTTTCCAGGGTCACGTTCCGAATCACAGAAAGCATACTCGCACTGAATGCGTGACGAATCATTCCCCTCCTCAAAACTCTCACGTGATACAGGACTCTGTAATGCAGTAAACTTTTCACGGACCTGTCAAACAAACTGTATATCTTAACTACTACATTGCATTAAGGGGGCATATATACACACAATGTTCAATGTGTAGTAAGGTAGTGCAAGAATCAGCATTGATTTTCCGGGGACAAAATTGCATATTGTGAAGGATGATTGCCTATCTTGACAAGAGTGACTTTAATATTTCATACAGTCGTCAAGCCATCTGAATTATGCTTTGGATTAAACGTAGAAAGGTTATTGACTTTGGCAAACATTTTGTTTCATTCAACTGTTTTGTCTACTTTTTATATCGTCTTCAGATTGTATTGTAACAGGTCTTACAGATCGTTCAGCCCTCTTCCACATGGACATTACAATGAGTTTTGCACCCAAGAGGTCACCTATCCTGTCTAACTGCTTTTCCAGAAAACATACTCTCACTGAATGACTTGACGAGTCACCCCCTCGCCTCAAAAGTATCACGTGTTACACGACTGTGTAATTCACGTGACCCGTCATCGCCATCACATGGATATCACGTGATATAACCTTGTGGCCATGCAGCATGACTGTCCGATCCCGTTCAGAGGTGAGGTGAGGTGAGGTAAGGTGAGGTGAAATTGGGCATAACGTTTAACGTCGGTGTTATCCCTGAAATGTTAGTTATCCATCCATTTCTCAACTATTTATTCACTGTTCACCTATTCTCACGAAATGTGCTCCATTTGTAATTTTACGTGTCTCCGCATTAAAAACAACAACTTATTTACTTATTTCATTTCATGTTTATATTAGGGCGACAAGCTTGATAGGTATCCGAGATATACAAATTGTTACTGATCTGTTATTCGTGTGTGTAAAAAGTTAGTCAAAATCACCAAAATATGCATGTTTCCAAAGATAGTAGGCCATAACATTTTGAGTGAATATTTCAAAGTAAATAGTCATCTAGTGTGAACAAAACATATACCCAGACCATATCTTCATATGTTTTAATTTTTTTAGGATTTATGTTTAATATGATGTCTCCAAAAAGTGTAATCTATGTTACCCCACGAAAATGACCATATATTACTGTTAAAAGTGTATGTATTCACTAGATGTTATTCCTTATTTGCAGTTTTATGTTGGGAGAATACAATAACAATCCCATAGCCACTAAATTTCAGTCCATTCCTCACCATGATGCTCCACAGGTTTAAAGTTGTAGAGATTTTTTAAGGACGTTATGTACATGACCAAAAGAGTTTTAAAATGAACGAGGACACTCTTCCTTTACGCTTTAAACGTTTGGTGGGCGCTCAAGGACGTCTGTGTAATCTACGTAATGTAATCTACGTTACCTCATTTCCAAAGGAGCATCATCGTTTTGTCGGATTGCACACAATAGTTACGTACCTTTGGCACTGACCGTCCACTGGTTCCAGAAGTAGTATTGACGCAGTATATCCAAGCGCCCAAAACACATGGAATGACGGACATTTTGTTCAGTGGCGTGACTGAAATGTGCACCATTGTCCAGTGACTGTCTCACCTGAGTAGAACAGATCACACACAATAAGGGCTACTCAGGTAAAACAATTTTATGGGTCTAAAGTTTTGACATGACCTCTTCTAAACGTTAAATGAGTATTTACTTTTGATTGGCTTATCATTGTTGATATTCAACATCAAGCTGAACTGATTACAGTTTGGATGAATTTTCACTGTGCTTATGTACTGTCTGTACTTTAAATAATGAATTAAACGAAGACACAGTTAATCTCTTTTGTATCTTTCAAAGTAACTCCGTGTAATAAAATAGCAACATTTCACCAGTAACGTTTCTATATTCCTATATAGATATGGTAGTGTTACGGTAACGGTAACGTAGATTACAAGATTTGTATTCAAGTTGTGTAATGACCAGGTTTTGTTGTTTATCACAATATAATACAGATAAAACTTATGTGAAATGTATTTCCAGTAACACTTTGTTTAAGAAAACCTGAATAGTAAGTTTGATTATCAATTTATGCAAATTATAGTTTACCCAATCATGATTGGCGATCTTCGTGTTCTCCTTGACATCTGACTTTTGATAGTTTGAATTTTGTGAACAATTAAATAAATGATAATAAATGATTAATATAACGACTTATCATTTAAAAAACTTTAATTTTTCATCATTTCCAGTTATCAGTTGGTGCTTATTTTCGAGAGAATATGTGTATTATGCCCAATGGAACTGTTTCGAAGGTGAGGTGAGGTGAAATGGGGTTTAACGTAGTACTTGAGAATATTTCGCTCATATCACGACGTGTGTATGTGTGGCTGCTTGTACTAGCCCCGACTTAAGCTGGTTTTATAGTGCTAGCTCACTGAGATACCATGCTGCAGTAAATCATGGATACCCCACTGATACTCCGAGCCAATCAGTCCTGGTTGTACCCATTAATGCCGAGAGCCAGGCAGGGACCACGAAGTACCATATTTAACCTCTTTTAGTTCGACGTGGCCGGGGATCGAACCCGCGACCTTCCGGTCTCCGGGCGCATGCTCTAACCACTACACCACGGAGGCGGAAACTTGTGCAGTCAACGATGATACTTCTCACACTCGAATCACCATGAAAGTAATGGTGTCTTCCCAGGAAGACGACCTTTGTGATTTCAGTAAAATCTTCTTTGAAGTGCACCGTATGTTGTAATAGGGGATAAAAGTGGTGGTTAGGTTAAAAACTAAAAAGTCGAAATCGATTTCGGAAAGAACTCAAAAGTAAGAATCATTGGTAGTATCAATGGCATTGATTACTTTATTGATTAACCAAAGATATATACTTAAACTACAAAGGATTTACCTTGGTCACTACGATTTACCTCCAATACACAGCGGTATGTTGACTGTTTCTTGTCTGGCAGGTCATACACAAGTGGCATAATCTTGCTGCTAACTCAATCATATACTGAACAATAGTTAGGGATATATTTAAATTTTGAAATTATGAATTATGATCGATTTATTCATTGACACACTGATAAAATATAAATCATAAAAATACCAATATCCCTTATTTTGTCCAGTATAGGTTATATTCACGCATAGGTTATATTCAGTTATAAACATTGACATGAAAAGTACTCATTCATCATTTATGAATCACAGCAGAGCTTGGATCACAACTCATCATTACCGTGAACAGACTATAACAACTCATGGGCGACGGTCAATACCTTATATAGTGCATACTTGTCTGTCCAGTAAAAAGATCTTACTTAACTGGATGTAGCACTGGAATATTGTTGGTGTGTCGTAAAGCAATAAATATTCATTCATTCATTCATAGCATTCATTCATTCATTCATTCATAGCATATTGGGAGCAGCTGAACCGTTAAGAACAGAAGACATTTTGCCAGTACATGCTACCATTAAATCTAAGGTGTAACACTGCCATTGATAGATTATGTTCAGCAGAGTGGTGGTTTCAGTCTCACAGATCGGGCTATTAATCTATACAATGTATATGAAAGGATTACCTTGGTTTGGTCGGCAGGTCTGTGGGGGGAGAGTCATGGAATTGTTGGCAACCACATGTACGATCCCGTGTTCAATGCCAGCTTCAGTTTTAGCACCACGGAGACTCGGTGGTGGGACGGAGGAGAACCACTGTGGGTCACGGCCAAGAAGCAGGTATACTCAGTATTTAGAATCCTATCTTCTACTACTGTAATTCTCAATGGGTAACATGGGCCTATGGCGTATACATGTATTACTTTTCTGAAATAAGCCACCATTACTTCTTTACTGTTTTCCGTTAATCAATGGTAGCCAAAGCTGTAAAAGAATATGTGTAAGGTCACAGAAACGTTAATCTAACTTCTTTCCTGCTACTTTAGTTGATCTATTATGGTAAAGAATCGGGGATGCCGTGAATAGCAATGTTCCAGCAATATCACGGCGGGGTACACCAAAAATGGGCTTCACACATTGCGCCCATGCAGGGAATTGAACCCGGGCCTTCGGCGTTGACGAGCAAACGCTTTAACCACTAGCTATGGGCTAGCCCCACCGTCCCGTTCACAATGTTAACGCTGACTTGCTAGGCCTTTGTTCTATTTATTTTGAAGGGTTTGAAGGCGGGGACATACTTTTGGCCTGGCAGCGAGGCTGAGATTCAAGGTGTGCGACCTGACTACTGGTACCCCTATACGAACGACACGCCTTATAAGGAGCGAATTGACACCGTCGTTGACTGGTTCAAGAACCAAAATGTCCAACTTGCCACTCTGTATTACCCAGAACCCGATAAAACTGGACACAACTTTGGGCCAGAATCACAAGAGGTCAGGGACAAGGTCATGTACATGGATGAAATCCTTGGTTACCTCGTGCAGAAGATGAAGGAGAATGATCTGGAAAGTGAGGTCAACGTCATCGTTACCAGTGACCATGGAATGGTTGAAGTGGATAACATCAATAAAGTAAGTCGCTTGTTACCGTAGACAGATCCTACGTTTCAAAAGGTATGCATGTTGATGACGTAACTGATGACGATTTCAGTATATCGCTACCCAGCAGAGGTGGGTGATTTCACTCTCGTATATTCTGCTCGAAACCAAGTAGATGATAAGAGATCATGCTAGATGAAATCCTTAGGAAGATATTTTTTATTGTTCGAATACCTTTGATAATTATCACACGTAATATAACGGTATTATTGATAAAATATTTTTCTCTGAACATATCAAAGCGATATTACAATTCCAGAATTGGAGTTTAAACCAGAGCAAGTCTGTTTTTGCTTCAGTGGCACTGTGGGTTTTCCCCACATGGGTATCATTCGCGGAAATATTTTTCAAACATGGTATTTGATGAGAGAAAATTTATTATCTTTAAGGTTGTGGATATTACCGATTACGTTGACATGACGAAGGTCGATCGTATCCCGATTTACGGCCCCTTGATGCATATTCTGCCGGTAGAGGGCCAGGACGACGCCATTATACAGAGTCTGGCTGGAGTGGAACACATCACAGTGTACAAGAAGGAGGATGTTCCAGAACGTCTCCATTACCAGGACAACAGAAGGATCATGCCCATTATCATCATAGCGGATGAGGGATGGCAGTTAACCACTGTAAGTTACAGGTCATGGATGTAGATGGGTCAAACGCAACGTTATCATGGAAGGGGAGATAATCACTGTATGGTTACTGTTCATAGAAGTAGATTTTTGTTTGTTTTAAACATTTTATTCACTGAGAAAAGGATTAGGAACAAGTTCTCCAACTTAGAATACCCTCTCCTTGGTATGTACATAGGTAATTTAGATTTCCGCAAATAAAGATGACAGATAGTGGACAAGAGAGTAGAATAAGTAAAAAGAGATAGAGCTTATACAGAATAATATCAATACGCTATACAAATTGTTTTGTCTCACTAATGAACGATTGCACTTACTTGAATACTATTGCATTTTGCCATGATAGATTTTTAGATATGTCATGCACGTCACTAATAAAGGGGAGCTAACCAGCGTAAGTCATTAGTCATAAGTGTAGAAGCGTCCGCTTTCCCCCTACGGTCTCTGTATTTTCTACATAACACTTGAGTATTCAAACTGATATACATGTACAAGCAAAACGTTCTAGGGAAATCTATCCAACTAAGTTTGGAAACATAACCATTAGTCAGTACGTTTCTCGGACATCAAGCATAGCTGTGGCTGGAGGCATCGATATAAATGGTCCAGTCGACTAAGGCGCCGAGTATAGCTGTGAAGGGATATATGGTCTGTTGTTCTATGCAGAGAGCTCATGCACAACTCAGTTGATATTAAGCAACGTTGGGTGTGGCGAGTCTTAGATGGGTGATCGTGTTTGGCAGCTTGTTTCCTGCGAGTTTCTAGGACGTCAGTCCTACCCCACAACGAAGCTCATGTGATACATGTGGTCTCACCTTAGGCATGTGGGGTTGTTCAAAATTGTCTCTGTTCATCCAGCAGAAAATGGGTACCCGGTGGGAAACGTCATGTGATTATCAACTGTGAGGCAGCTTGGGTTATCCTAGATAATTATAATAATAATAATAATAATCAGATTACATGTATATTTGTGCGCTTTGAGCAGGATATGAAGCCTGGAAAGGCGCGATATAAATATTCTACATCATCACTATCCCTTGGACACCCCAGAAACCTATAGTTTACCATATCCGTGTTCGTAAGCTCCAACAAACGGTGAATGTGTGAGTCTGGTCTCCTCCCACATCCTGCCGTGAAGCTCCGACATAACTGATACACTGTCCGAAGCGACGCTAAACCCACCTCACTCAGTCATCACAATTTCTTCTCATACATTTTCAGAACAAGACCAAAAAGGCCAAAAGTACTCTAAAAGCCACCCACGGTTACGACAACGCATTGATGTCAATGAAGCCAATATTCCTGGCTAGGGGACCCAACTTCAAGGCCAACCTCACGTCAGATCCAATCCAGAATGTCGACATCTACCCTCTTGTTTGTAAACTGCTCAACATTAAACCAGCGCCGAACAACGGAAGTCTGGCCCGTGTCAATGCCTTTATCCAAGATACGCCTCCAGTTTCTGGGTCTCCAATCAATACACCTGTACTGCTTTTCGAGTGTATATTTGTATTCACAATCTTCCTTATACTGTAGCTGAATTTAACTCGATCACACTTAACAGACATAGGTCTCACTAGTAATTTAAAAGTGAGTTTAGTTTTACGCCGTACTCTGCAATATTCCAGCTATATGGCAGTAATAATTAAAGAAGATAAATTCAAACGATTGAAGAATAAAATTATATTCAAGTTTTTCGGAGAAAGACTTTCGATTGGCCAATATTCAATCCTTATGAAACCGAAGTCTATTTAAACGTTTCACGGTTACTATAAATCCACCTCACCCTGTTCCAAATTTGTAATTAACCTGGCGACGAGAGCAAACAAATGCTCTTTCACTCTATTGTTCCAATCCTTGGTGTAACACCACCGACTATATATTCCAAACTATTTTAACCGATTTTACTATATGAATCCGAAGTAGGGGGTTTTAAAGAGTGTTCTACCACAGAAAAAATTCACTTGCCTGCCTGTAGAAAGTTTCTGAATGTTGGTTTGTCAACCCCAAAGGCTATGGTTTATGATGAATGTGGTAGGTTTCCATTGTACATATCATCTTATTGTCGTTGTTTAAAATTGGTGTAAAATAATTAATATGCCTGAACATCATTTACTAATAAAAACCCTTCAATTTGCATGTACATCTTGATTATCTTGGTAAGCATCATTGGACATCTCATATTCACACCTTACTATTGAGATATGGTTTTGGTTGTATTTGTTTATCATAGAGTTGGCAGTGTAAATAAGTTAATTACAGTTTCGTATTCGGGCTATTGACATGTTTAAGCAGGAACGGTATTCAACTATTATTGAAAGTTCTAGATATGTTCATATCGTCAATTTAAGTCGTTGCTTGAGCCAGTGTCTTATTTGCTCACCTATACTACAGAAATGTTCGCAATGTTTTTATCCGTTTTAGATTAGGCCTCAATGATTTAGCAATTAACCGTGGAAGATATCTTTCTACTGAAAAGACCCAAAGATATTGTCCATTCTGTAATTTTATTGAAGATGAATTCCATTTTATGTTTATTTGTCCTGTATATAAAAATCTAAGAAGTAATTATCTAACACAATTGTCTTTATCCGAAATCAATGTTAAACTATTGCCTTCCTTACTTTCCTGCAAAGAACCTCCAAATCAACACAAAGTAGCCCTATTTTTTTACAATGCATTTTTCTTAAGAAGATAATTGATCAGTTAGAAAGTTGTGTTTTTTTTGTTTTTTTTAAGTATTTTTATTTCCCATCAGTATGTTGTACATCACATTTCAGAATCAAATGCAATTTTTACATGCTATACAGTTTTTGCGTTACACACCACTTTCAAGCAGTATACATATCACATGTTACAGTATTGATTTCCAATATTTTCAGTTTTGTAAACACAGTAGTATGTGTAATAATAGATCTGCGTGGTTGCAGTGATCATGAAACGTATTCATTGCTTAGCTGATACATACTAGGGACACTGTTCCGTATACATACATATACTTCATCTATATATACCTTAGGTGCATGTACATATGCATTCTTATATACTTCTACACACATACATATGTTCATCTGCAGACACATCCATACACATGCACATACTCATGCTTACACATATACATATGTATATACACATACACATTACATGTTTATACCCGCATGTATATACTGCGATTGTTTATAAAGACATCATGAGTAATGATATTCGAAAATAGTGTATGGAAGGAGGACCAGAATGTAAAAAATTGTGTTTGCCTCGCGTTTGAAAAGGCAATGTATTTAGTGGATTTATAGTTGTTGAATATTTCCCGCTGCAAATATTGAAAGTTTGGCTTCATATTTTTCAAACTCATGTTATATAGTGTATATTTCATATATTTCATAATAAGAAAGATCACGTTTAGTGGATTATTATTTTTGCCCTTCCAGCCAAATAATATATCTTCAGGATAGAGGTTATACTTCCTTCGGATAATACATCAAGCCATCCGGATACCTCCTTCCATATTTTTACAGTATACGGACATTCACATAATAGATGTATTATCGTTTCAGGAGTGGATTCACAGAAAGAGGACATGGGCGAATCAGTATGTTTCATTAAATGTAGCCTGTACTTTGTCATTAAAATATTATGAGTGATCTTAAAGTGAAACCATCTTAACTGTACGCTCTCTGTGCATCTGTTTGCCATTAAATAAATATTAGTCCACTCTTCTTTGTTATAATGTTGCTTCAGAATATCCTCCCATTTATTTTGACCACTGGGATTGACGTGACTTTGTGGCAAGAGAGTATTATAAAAAGCTTTACTCCTTTGTTTTTTTCCACATATACAAGAGATATTAAACGGTAATACTGGGTTTTGGAATTCTGAATTAGTTTTCCCTATATCAGTTATATGTTTAGACCTGCAGTATGCCAATACAGCACATTTTATACCCTCTAAATGCAAAAAGTTTATCTTGGGTATTCCATATTTTTTTTCTATCTCAGCTTTTTGTAGGAAAATCCCATTATAGTCAAGAATATCTTTAAGAAGATGTATTCCTTTTTTTGGCCATATATTCATAATAAACAAATTTTCCCTCTATCTGTATATTATCGTTGAACCATAGAGACTGACGGAGAATTTCTGAAATTTCTTTTACCTCTGGATAACAGTTTCTTAGGTAGTAACACCATGCCAATAATGCATCTTTCCAAAAAGGATTTGTAACATTTGTCATAATATAGTGGCATACATAATCTGTATCAGCATAACATAGCTTAATCCTATCAAGTATACATACATTGGTGGGGCGGTGGGGTAGCCTAGTGGTTAAAGCGTTGGCTCGTCACGCCGAAGGCCCGGGTTCGATTCCCTGTATGGGCACAATGTGTGAAGCCCATTTCTGGTGTTCCCCGCCGTGATATTGCTAGAAAATTGCTAAAAGCGGCGTAAAACTAAACTCAGTCAGTCAGTCAGACATACATTGGCAATAGAGATACATTTTGAATTTTCGGTAATGAGCCTCTTTATCCACATTAGTTTCTGCGCATATATAGTATTTTGTATATCTGGTACGCTAATGACTCCATTCTTGGGTTTTTGAAACATGGTTTCTCGTTTTACCTTATCCTTTTTTCCTTGCCCCACAAACATAAAGCATTTTTTCTGAAAGTTTTGTATTATATCGTCCGGTGGGCTTGGAATTGAAGAAAAGAGATGATTTAGTTTTGGTGATAGCAAAGAATTTAAAATAGTGTTTCTACCCATTGGTGTCATATATCTCAACGTCCAGAGGTTCATTTCTTTGTAGATTATTTCAAGTTTGTCTTTATAGTTGTGGTCTATCATAGCGTCTAGCTCGACATCAAAGTCTATTCCTAACAGCCTAAAGTTTGACTGCGTCCAGTCTAGATTCCATTCTTTGCACATCTTATACCTAGATCTTTTTTTGGATCCTATCCATTTCAGCCTAGTTTTGTGTGTATTTACTTTTAGCCCTGAAAATCTTGCAAAGAAAGCCAATGTGTTTAAAACTGCGTAGAGACTTGATTCTGATCCATCCAAGGTTACTTGTCATCAGCAAACTGGGCATGTAAGCTTTGAATATTTCCTATTTTTATTCCCTTAATTTTTTTTTTTTCCTGATTAGTAAAGCTAGCACTTCGGCGCATAGAATAAAGATATACGGTGATATTGGGTCTCCCTGGCGACATCCCCTGGTTATCTTGAAAAAATCGCTTGCAAATCCGTTTGCTAATACGCTAGATTCAATATCATTTGAGAAAATATTTATCCATTTCTGTATGCTTGGCCCAAAGTTAAAAAACTTTAGAACATTCTGCATGAAATTTCTGTCAACCGAGTCAAAAGCCTTTTCGAAATCGATAAGTAGTAGTAATCCTGGAATTTGGTATGATTCTGTATAATCCATAACGTCAAATATTTGTCTTGTGACTTCCCCTATATACCTTCCAGGAACGAAACCTTTCTGGTCTTCATGGATAATATTCGGAAGTATTGTTTTTATCCTATTTGCAATTACGGCCGATGCTAATTTGTACGAGGTATTTAGTAATGATATAGGTCTCCAATTCTTTAGGAAATTTTTGCTTTTGTTACCCTTTGGCAAGCATGTGACAAGTCCTTGTTTTTGTGATACAGACAGCGAAGCATTTTCATAAGCATAATTCAACGAATTTATGAGGTATATATTTAGATCATTCCAGAAAAAATTAAGAAATTCACTTAAAATCCATCAGGGCCTGGGCTTTTTCATTTTCTTTAAAGCAGATAGTGTTTCATGGTAAGTTAGTTTCCTTCCAGGGAAGATGCTACATTTTCAGACAGTTTTGGTATTTCAATACCTGTAAATAAATCTTCTAGATTTATCTGTTAGAAAGTTGATTATATATGCCATTGTTAATATGTATCTCTTTTGTATATGGGCCTATGGTCTTTCATGCAAATACATAATTGAATTGAATCTCTCAACAGTAGGTGCCTGGTAGACGGTAAGACAAAGTCACCGTTTCTTCAGAAAATGCATAAACGTCACTTCTGACGGCATGTTTACAAGACAAGTGTTTGTCGTCCTTTTCAAAGTACTGACTTCATGTCAAGGTGAACTACACTGTCGTGGACCTACTCTCAAACTATCCAATACAAGAGGATAGTATACGACCTAATAAACGTACTCATCGTCCACGACACGTGACTTAACCACATCATAACCGACGGCCTGCAAGTAGCTGTAGTCTGTTTTTAAACACATTAAATCAGTACAAAACAAGCAGTTGTCACCAAGGTGACATAATTCCCCGCCGCAAATCATGAAATCAAACTTAAAATGTAATGAAAGTGAAGGTCGTAGTTTAAGATGAAGTCCAACGTCAACAAAAACATGACCAGTCAACCCTCTCTTGATATCTTGCGCTGCTGCTATTCAAACACAGAAATATTTTCAGGATTCACTTTGACCTTAACATGACTGACTGACTGAATTTAGTTTTACGCCGCTTTTAGCAATATTCCAGCAATATCACGGCGGGGACACCAGAAATGGGCTTAACACATTGTGCCCATGTGGGGAATCGAACTAGGGTCTTTGGCGTGACGAGCCAACGCTTTAACCACTAGGCTACCCCACCGCCCCTGACCTTAACATGAATGTGATGGTGAATGAAATATGCAAAAAATAGTAATAAAGAAAATTGCTTATCAAAAAAGACGAGTCCTGAAAGTCTCTAAAGAAAATCCAGTGAACCTTTCTTAAGATATCTTGCTGACAATCCCACTTGTGACCTTAAAATACTGTAATGAGCCTAGATATCAAATATGAAAAGCATCTAGACAACGGGTACGTACGTCCTGACCAAAAGATCTTGTTTTGAGGTAACCCTATCCTCTGCACCAGTCCTACTGCGCAGGTGTCAGGCAATGGCATATCATTTCAAGGGTGGCAATATTTACGTACCGATGGCGTAATTTCCGGTAGAGGGGACGCCTGTGATGTCATTTCTGGTTTCAAATATAGCGCCAAGACGAGACAAACCTGTAGAAAATCATTTTAACACCCAGTTCCATTATTCCAAACTATGGCCAGAGATATGCCCACCCTACCACCAACTCACCTTCGTGTTTTGTAACTTTCAGGAACCTTCCTTTTCTGATGAAGTGTTTTAATTAAAGTCACATCGGCAATAGCTGAACAGGTATTTTCTCTGTTTCTTTGGGGTCTAGATATGCTGTCAGTGGTATTTGAGCTCCGATGGGACATTGTGGCTTGCAGAAAATCCATACGTTTTACATCAGGCAGTGATAATTGCCTTGACACATGGGAGGCCAAATGCTGAAGTCCGATTTGGTGAAAAGATTAAAGTGGGGACTTGAGTATTGACCTCTAGCGTTATGCTTGCGTAACTGAGGAAATATCAACAGCATGTAGATCTGACACCATGGCAACAATTGCCATAGCTAGGAGAATGATTTCTGGTTTTCTCTTGTGTTTCCATGAATGTTTACTTTTATAGCCACGTTTCTCTTTGTTAGTAACCGAATTGTCTCATCCGGCTGTCATGGGTGATATGTCTATGAACTAGCGACTATTTCAGATTCGAACTTGCCTTTGCTGTGATAATTGTGATAAGAGGGAGTGGAGGGTGGGACAATATGTGAAGTTCTCAGCTGGTAGAGGAAATCCTGTCATTCTTGTAGTCAGAGAGGCTCTTCCATCAGAAGGTGACAGCCTCTAAAACATGCCAGAGCTTGCAGAATAACCAGTGTCCTCTGTCAATTTACTACTCTGTCTATGGTGGTGGGGTAGCCTAGTGGTTAAGTGTTTGCTTGTCACATTAAAGACCCGGTTCGGGTTCCCAAATGGGTACAATGGACACAGCACAATTTTCTGCATGAATGATAAACCTGCATGTTAGTGACCAATTTCCAGAGAAATAACCCAATATTGTCATACAGGTTTTCGGGAAAGGGTAAACCCGCCCTGTTCTACAAGCAGCACTCCCATATCAAAAGTGAAATATCTTCGCCTTGTGTCACAGCTTAAATCATCATCAAGTATCATCAGGAAAAGGGTCATGTCCTGCCCTTCCAGTTTTACCTTTGTAGCATCTGCCGCTTTCTTTAACTGGAATAAAAACATATCTGGCCTGAGCTGCACAGCAGTCCTCCTAAAGCCACGAAAACCCATACTAAGTTACTGATCCCACAGGAAACAAACAACAGAACACAGAGAGTATGGTATTGGCTTATGTGATGATTCAGCATACAACAAGGTTCTGAGGTGCTAGATAAACCAGTTATACTACAATATCCTGTTGAAAGACTGATATAATCAATGATCTCACAGACACAGTTAAATATTAATCTTGTCATAGAAACTTCATGCTACAATAATAATGTCAAAGATAATGTTTTAGTAAGGATTTTCTCAAGCATACCAGCACAATCAATGCAATAAAATCACAAAGGGTTCTTGTTTGTTCTGGTCCCTTTGTCTCTTCTGGTCAGGACTTCCAGTCTTTCTGAACTTGCAAGCTGGATGAATGGTCTTGGGAACCAGATATAGGTAAACACACAGCAGCCATTTCTCACACGGCTTGGTGTAGGCTTTGTGAAGAACAGAGTAATAAAATATTTACTCATATAAAAGGTACCTTTCACATGAAACGTTTGCCAACTTGTACTGATGGAGCATGTTAGGTGTCATTGTGATGTATCTAGAACAGGTATTTAAGCCCATGACTCCATGACTATCTGTGAATGAATATAATAAAATATTTACTCATATAAAAGGTACCTTTCACATGAAACGTTTGCCAACTTGTACTGATGGAGCATGTTAGGTGTCATTGTGATGTATCTAGAACAGGTATTTAAGCCCATGACTCCATGACTATCTGTGAATGAATATAATAAAATATTTACTCATATAAAAGGTATCTTTCACATGAAACGTTTGTAAGACTTGTACTGATGGAGCGCGGTTGTTAGGTGTCATTGTGATGTATCTAGAACAGGTATATAAGCCCATGACTCCATGACTATCTGTGAATGAATACACTCATCAGCTAGTATGATGTCGAATTACAATAACATCAAGAATCTCTCTGTTCTATTTACAGTCAAGACACTGGTTATTACATACATATACATACTAACATTTGTATAGCACCGATATCCAGCTCAGCTGCTCAAAGGCGCTTTGTTATTACTGTTTACAAACTGAGGAGAAGTTGCTGAAATATTTTGGATGACAAATTGAATCCTTCCCTCATGATGTCCAAGTTCAAATATATCTAGACTTATTGGTGAGCAATTTTACACTGCTGTGTCTAAATAAGATTTATTCAAATATTCAAATACTCTGAATGACAAAACAGTTTCCAAGCAGATTACTTTTTGGAACACATAATAAATCTAACCTGCCTTCTTAGTTAAAAAGATATCAAGGTAAATTTATCCAGGAATATACATGTCAAAGTTACAAATATCTGAAGCTTGATGACCATACTTCAACTTTTACCATTAAGTACTACCATATACCTAGATTGGATATCATGAGGGAAAGATTATATTTACCATCTAAAAAATAAATAATTTATTACTCTAGGTGTAAGTGGTATGCAGGCCATTTTGCATCAACTCCTAAACTCCAATTTAATAACACTGTGAACTGAACGCATTGCAGACAGACTGAATGAAATCATAATGTCCAGTAGCCAGGGCTTGAAGAAGAAACCGGTAATTCAAGGAGTTCTGGTTATTTAGGGTGAAAAAAAAGCAGCACATTAGCCTTTCCTAAATATCTTCTGAAAAAAAAGAACAAAACAGATTCAAAATTTAAATCCCATCTCGTTGAACAAGTTATTATGAAATATCTGGTTTGTTCCAATTGGAGATGAAATGAAACATAAAAAACTTCCAAAGTGTCCCAAAACTTTCCTGTATACTAATCAATGTCATCGGTCTTGGTAAATGGTTAGATAACTAGAAAGGTAAAATATTTGTCAAGACAAATCATGAAAGTGATCATGCAACATACGGGTCATACATCTTCTAATTATCACTAAACTGGACTTGTTGGAGTATATTGTTCACAAAATAAAAAATAGGTTCATATCTGAACGCCTTTTCTAATAAATAACCTACAATGCCTATGTCTTGCTAAGAGGGTTCGATCGGAAGCTATTTTATAATTGAGTCATCTCGCACCTCAGAATTGGTAACAATCAAATAGATCTGATTCTGCAACAAGCATTGATATTATTTTCACATTCTTCAAATTTTAACAATATGACTGGAAAAAAGATAAACAATGTTCTTTTGGAGTTTCTTCAGATCAACCAACACTGAGAAAGTTCGGCTCTTCCACATGTGCAGTCAACATGATTCGTGTAAATAAATACTGACAACACTGAGAAAGTCTTCATCTTTCCACATATGCAGTCATTTTTCTCATCACATTGGTAACGCTTTCAAGCCTAGTAGGCCCAGGTCAGATGCATAATATCCTCTTCCTTGGCTCGACACTGAGAAAAGTCTGCTTTCTACAAATGGCAGCCATTTTGGACTTCTTTCACAGGGTTGAACTGGGCAAGTTCTTCTTACCACAATCACATACACCGCACTCACACAATTTATTCATCACTTCAGGAAATAGTTAGGAACATAGATCCAGCACAATCATCTCACTGGATTCTGCAATTAAAACACACCTGGCAATACATTGTAAAAGTTCTTCTTTCAGCAAAATGCCAACGGGACGATATGTCATTAAAATTACTCCATTATGTGAAAGTTCTTCTTCCAACAAAAGGGAAATACCAGATCTAGTTGAGGAATAAAGCACTAAAATATTATTGCACTGCTCGCAGTGTAAAAGTCTCTCTTCTGACACCCTGCAGCACCGATGTATAGTCAAATGACTTCAAGTTACCTTAGTAACAGGGTCACATGACATAAGTTTCTTGGCAACAGTCACATGACCTGTTGATTCCTTGGTTTTTACTCCTCCTGACAGTAACATTGTCAATGGTTGATGTTGAGTGGAATATAAACCTTTCAGTTGTATAAACTGTGGAATATTTTAGATAAATCTTCTACCGTGAATGGACAAGCACTCCTTGAGGAATTGTGGACCATAGGTTAGATGGACGACGAGGTTGACGATACTCAATCCATGGCTAGTATTGGCCAGATGCAGGTTACATGGTTTTAGAATCAGAGGCTATGATTGGACAATTGCTGGTCACATGGTGGCAAATTAAGGTGAAGCTGTGTGTATGGGATAGTCTCCATTACCAGTTGTTCAGCTCTGGAATGACTTTAAATACATCGTAATTAGACAAAATGATAGAGAGGCTATGCATCTATGACACAAAAAGCTTATGAACAGGGTTTGGAAAACATTACTATCTCGCACTAAAAGCAGTTGTTTTAGTGTTCTGCCAAGAATATGTCCTTAAAGAATTACCGAATTTACAAAAACATGTTCCCTCAAATGCTCAAACATAGTTCTAGATTATGTTGTGAAACCCCACATTCAGAAAATAATAATATTATCAAATGGATACTGACTGACTGAGTTTCGCTTTACGACGCTTTTAGCAATATTCCAGCAAATATCACGGGTGGGGACACCAGAAATGGGCTTCACACGTTGTAACCCATGGGGATTCAACCTCGGTCTTCAGCGTGACGAGCCAACGCTTTTAACCACTAGACTACCCACTCACTTCTCAAACGGATACAGTCTTTTGTTTGTAATAATGTGAGTCTTTGAACAGTAGATTCATTAAAAAAGGTATTCACAGACACAATATGGGTGACAGAGAACACTGCGCTCAAAACGAACACATTTCTTTGGCAAAACATTGTATTAGTAGGCAAATAGCCACTGGCCCGGCTTAGTCCGGGGGCTAGAAAAATCCAGTCAGGCTAGTACAGTATATCTTTAATTCACCTTCACCTAGATATCAAAATTGATAGAATTTCAGAACATGAATAAAAACAAAACTTCTTTAAAAGAGGGTATTTTTAGAAATATTTCTATTTTCAAGTTATCAATGCTTTCAACAAAACAGAAATGTTTTCCATCCCGCCAACCGCTATAATGAAAACAAAACTCAAACAATTCAAATCTCTTCTAAAGGAATGCATTAAAAGAAACAGGTAGCTAACTATTATGTCAGGTACCAAATGTCATTCACACCATATTAGTAAATTTGGCTTTTCACTTATAGACGCTTTATTTGATAACCCATAAGTTTGAATTACTAATTTCCTTTCAGTCATGAATCTAACTTACAAATTTCTAAAGGTAATATAAATAGATGGTACAAGGTCCCTTCTATCTATTTAACCAGCACTGGTGTCTGTAAATATGTAAAACTGGGCTTAGGACAAACTTAGTCTCAGCATATATAGTCGGCTTGCATATACTTTTTATTATTATTATTATAGGATATTTATATAAGCGACATATCCAGGCAACTAGTGCTTGCTCAAGGTGCTGGTATTTTTCCCTCGATCACTGGATGTCAATCTCAACAGCACATCATATTATCAATCTCAACTTCCTGGGCAGTATGCAACTCGTAAGCACGCCTCTTAATCCTGTTGTTTATTATCTACCTTGTTGTGACAATATGTATGCTGGATAACAGAAACCAATAGGGTTATACCTGTTAAAATTCAGTAAACAATTCCTAAAAGAGAAATAAATCACACTCTGTAAACACCCAATAAACCGGATATAAAACCATGAAAAATCTAGAAAATACAGACACACCTCAATCTCCATGGGTTTGACATGACCGGTAATGGGGCCATTGTTGTTTAGAAGTTGCTGAGGTTTGTCTGTATTGTCAGAAAAAGCCATACAAGTTGAGTGCAAGCCCACTTTCTAAAGAAACCAATCTTCACACGCGAGAACCAGGACAATATGAAGACCTGATGTGTGTTTTCTCACAGTAAGACTTGACCTTGGGACGACACTGCTTAACATTAACAGCAAAAATGGCTGCCAAAACCATTCATAGTGGAGGAGTGAGTTTGGTTTATGCACGCTTTTAGCAATATTCCAGTAATATCATGGCAGGGGGCACCAGAAATGGGCTTCACACATTGCACCCATGTGGGGAATCGAACCCGGGTCTTCGTCGTGACAAGCGAACGCCTTAACCATTAGGCTACCCCACCGCCCCCAAACCATTCATAGAAGTCTGGGTCAATGCAATATTTTGTGACACAATTTCAAATAACATGGACCGTTAAGAAGATAAAATGCGTAATTTTACTTTCTACTGAGGCGTCCATTCTTGTCTCTGGTGAGGTGAAATTGGGTTTAACGTTGTGCTTGAGAATATTTCGCTCATATGACGACGTGCATGCGTGTGTATATGTATGTGCGGCTGCTTGTACTAGCCCAGACTTAAGCTGGTTTTATAGTGCCACTTAGATACCATGCCGCAGTGAAGCATGAATACCCCACTCAGACACATTATACTGACTCTGTACCACCAGTCTTGTTGCACCTATTAATGCCGAGCGCCAGGCAGGGACCAACAAGTACCATATTTTCACGTCTTTTGGTATGACGCACACGGTTCGGGGACGCGAGAAATAGACATGAGTAGACTCAAATCCCTGTCTTCGGCATGATCAGCCAATGCCTTAACCATGAGGCTTCCTCTACATCCATGAAAAGATCACTTCAAAACATGAGTAAGAAAGGATGAACCTTCAGCAATGGCAGTGTTTACCCAAAAGTACAACAAAAATATTTGCTAGCCATGTTGCTGTCTGTGTACCCAAATAAGTTCAGGGGCTTGTGATTTATCCAAAAGATGCCTATCACTTGTGTCAAACATCCAGGAGAATAAAAAAATGTAACCCATGTTTATACCCTATTTTACAAATACTAAATACCACGCTCCTTGAGAAAGTTATTATTTGCCTGAAACATATTCCTTTGGTTGATAGCATAATGGATGCTGGATGACTGCTAGTGACAAAATAGATCTTGAATCATACTCATAGAAGCAGAGTATGAAGTGCTCTGTCCACAAGGATAAGCAATAATGTGAAATTCACACACCAGTATTATTACATATGATCAAAAGAGTGTAAAGGAAGGAAAGCACATTGATAAATAAGTCATGTGTCCAAAAGTACAAAAGCGAATTTTACAGTCTGTGTTTAACATGTTTGATGTAAAATCTCATTCAGCTCTACTAGGCGCTATGTACTACAAATACTCTTCAAACAATGATTAACCAGTTTCAAACAATGACAAGCATTAGCAAACAGTTTCCCTTGAGAGAAGAAACTTCAACAGCAAAAGACTACTTTCTTATCTATCTGTTAAATTCAGAACAATCTCCATCACTCTGTACTCTAGAAGAGCTGTATTAGTTAAGTAGGTATATTTACTGTTTCTTTTATAATAAAGATGATCTTTTTGTTGATAATTTTTAGTATTAAGTATTCTGACACATGACAAGTTTCTTGAGTATATTTGAGAAACCACCACCGTTGATGACTGAAGGGAGATAACTCATGTTATGCATAGATGGCAATACATTACATGGCCATGACTAAATGTGATGGTTATAAACTTAACCAATAAAACTAAGAGAGTGCTCATTAACATTGGGGCTTGGGACTGGTGGGAATCAAGGGTGAGATAACGTTGAATTAAAATTGTCCCCAAAATTTGTCCGACTCTTCATGATGCTCCCTTCAATGTTTTAAATACAACAAAGTTACACATAAACTTACATACATAACAATTTGTCATAACCCCATTAAAATATTAATTATATTTTTCATGCCCTCCCCTGTGACATGTTATGTGACAACCCTCCCTTGATTCCCTCTATTAAAGTGATAAATAGCAGGTCCATGAATAATGTTTAAACTGTTGATTATACCTTTATCACTTCAGAGAGTAACTAGCTTTGACCCTCTGTTGAATTATCTCCCTTGATTAAGACCTGTGAGGTGAAATCCATTTCATAACCTTATTGAAATGTGTTTCAAATGGAAGATAGTCTTCAAATTTAAATCAGCGATTGATTAAACAAATTTACGTACCAACTGGACTTCACTATTAACTGTACATAGTATTATTATATTAAAAGCAAAATATAATGGTCATATCCTGAGAGCTACAGATTGGCATGTACATTCAATATGTGGAATAGCTTCATGAAAGTCCCAGCCCACAGACCTGCAACAAAACACTAAGTACCGTGGTCGACAAACAATAGGCTGACTATAACTTATAAGTCAAACTATAGTCTGTTTTGCAGTGAAAACGCATACCAGTGAATTGCACTTTAAACAAAAATGTAAATCGAATTAAAGTGAAATTAAGATTACTTAATCCTCATAATTCTAATTTCTGCCAATTGAACATTTAAATCTTAGATTTTAAATCAACTTAAAAAAGTTGTTTAACAAACGATCAAAGTTTCAAATCGCTTATATTGGTTTTGTATTACAAGGGGGGTAAAGCGATAGATAGTTGGAACAGTGAAACAAATGCTGCGATGTGATGCGTGATGAGCCTTAACTTAGACCAACCCTACTTGATATCAGTGTTTCATTTTATGTGCATACCCCCTTGTAATACTAACCAATAGTACCGATTTGAAACTATGATCGTTTGTTAAACAACTTTCATCCCAAGTTGAATAAAATTCTGAGATAAAATTTTCAAATGGCAAAGTAACATTATGAGGATTCACAATCTTAATTTCAATTTATTTGATTTACTTTTTTGTTTAAAGTGAAATTCATCAGTACGTTTTCACCGCAAACAGACTATAACCCACATGAAGAAGCTGATATATTTCTAGAAACTTTGATTCACAAACCTTCAATAATCCAAAAATAAATCTGGCAACAAAATATAACCAGAAAATCACTCTCGCTTTCTCTACTTTCCTGAGTATGTAAAATGAAGAATTATCTCAAATATTATTTTGCTTTCCTTCTGCACAGCATCAATTCAAAAAGTATTATATGAATACAACTATTTATGAATAACTGCACTATTCACACAACAGTTGGTGCCCTTAGCAACATATCCAGATAAAACATTTGAGATATTTACCCCCTTTTTAAAACTTATAAGAAATAACAAAATTCTGGACCAAGTGTACTTAAATAAAAAAATACATCATGCACCCATAAACTGAAAAGTATTAAGAAACACATTTAATTACAATCACAGGAAGCCATTTCACAGACTGTACGTTCATGATTTGAATATAAAATATGTTTCAAATTACATATGTAGTGCTGTTACTTAATGAAAAGTGATTATTCAACAACAATTATTTCCCCTGACTCATTCATTTCATCATTTTCGCTAAACTTAACACAAGATACTCTACACTGGGTGTCAGATGTTCAAATATACTCAATAGTAATTTTTCCTCATATACTGAAACCTATCTGAAAGCAATCAGAACCTTCCTGACCATTGCCAATGCAAGATCCTGCTAGCAGCCAATGATCAGCATTAACTGACCAATGACAATACCTTTCGAAGGTCACATGTCATCTGGAGGAGGCGGCAGTAGCAGCATGCACAGGCATCGATTTGACAGGCGACGAGAGGTAGTGACTGTCATCTCTCTGCTTCTTCGAAATTGTGAACTTGAAGAACTCGTACACAGACCACGATATTGCTGTCGAGGGCATCTGGTAGATCACTCTCGGTTGAATGCCTCGAAAGTAACCGGTGATTCCTTGAAACTCGTAAACTGTCCTGAAGGCCGCTGCCATACCATTCACATATGAGATCTTAGTCCGAGAGCACTGCTCCTGCGTGTTGAGCAGGGTTTTGCAAACGTCTAACGGCATGGTTGCAGCAGCAGCAACAGCACCTGCTAAAGCACCTGATATCACATGACTCCGAGGGTCATACTGTCTCTGATGGTTCAGGCAGTCTTGCATAAATTAAGTAAGTCATAAAGTGCAAGCATTGGAAAGGAATATTCATAGTCAATTGTGTTGTGAAGCTTCGATAGAAGGCTCTCGAAAGCACCTTCCTCTTGAACTATAGTCTTTGCACATCAATCAATACATGTCTTGTACGGGCTTCCATACACTTGCATTCTCTGCTTGACCACTGCAACATTAACAGAGAAAACACAGTCAGACCTATTCTGGACAACAAGACACTTAATATTCATTTTAGTCTGTCAAGAGAACAATGCATGATCACATAAAATCAATCACCTTACCTGTAATATGAGTGGGTGAGTATATAGTTCTAGCAATATTCCTGCAACATCACAGCAAGAGACACAAAAAATCATACATTGTAGTGAGTGAGTTGGGTTTTAGTCCGCATTTAGCAATATTCCAGCAATACCATGTCTGAAGACACCGGAAATGGTCTTCGCGCATTGTACATGTGGGAATTGAACCCGGGACTTCGGTGTGACGAGTGAACGCTTTAACCACCAGACTCCCCCACCACCCTTGACTTAAAATAGTCAATGAGTTGAACTGTACGCCACCTTCAGCAATATGTTAGCAATGAGACATGAGACATGGACATGAGAAACCACCCCCATATATTTTACCGATATATGGAATTGAACCAGGTCTGCTGAAATACGAGTACCCATCACCTGGAAATACCACTGCCCCTTAATCACGACTACAGCCTACAATCTCTCATACACAAATAACAGTACCGGTACATTTGATAACAGTGTGGAAGATGTCATATGTGACATCAATATTAAATTTACTGTACCATCAAGATAAACAGCTGTTGAGTGAACACTGAACATCAGTGTGTAGCTTAGAGACAAATGACTGGTCGACAGCTTGAAGGCTGCAGTCATATATCATGATTGTGCTGGTGTTAAACAACAGGAAACAACAGCAATTGCAGTCCTGACTTAATTGGATTCTTAATCCAGGATTCATGACATAACAGTATATATAAAACATATAACTCCAGCAGGATTCATGGCAGCATCATGTATACAACACTAACCTTCAGCAGGATTCATGACAGCATCATGTATACAACACTAACCTTCAGCAGGATTCATGACAGCGTCATGTATTCAACACTAACCTTCAGCAGGATTCATGACAGCATCATGTATACAACACTAACCTTCAGCAGGATTCATGACAGCGTCATGTATTCAACACTAACCTTCAGCAGGATTCATGACAGCGTCATGTATACAACACTAACCATCAGCAGGATTCATGACAGCATCATATATACAACACTAACCATCAGCAGGATTCATGACAGCACCATGTATACAACACTAACCTTCAGCAGGATTCATGACAGCATCATGTATACAACACTAACCATCAGCAGGATTCATGACAGCATCATATATACAACACTAACCATCAGCAGGATTCATGACAGCATCATGTATACAACACTAACCTTCAGCAGGATTCATGACAGCATCATGTATACAACACTAACCTTCAGCAGGATTCATGACAGCTTCATATATACAACACTTACCTTCAGCAGGATTCATGACAGCTTCATATATACAACACTTACCTTCAGCAGGATTCATGACAGCTTCATATATACAACACTTACCTTCAGCAGGATTCATGACAGCATCATGTATACAACACTAACCATCAGCAGGATTCATGACAGAGTCATGTATACAACACTAACCATCAGCAGGATTCATGACAGCATCATATATACAACACTAACCTTCAGCAGGATTCATGACAGCATCATGCAACAACGTAGCAACACAGCCTGCAGCTCCTGCAACAAAACATTTAAAAAATCAAAATACAAGACATGTTTTTCTCTCGGGCTGAACGTGTTAGGTGGCTGACTTTGCGTGCTGGCAATTAGGTGCCTGACTCTGAGGGTGTGGGTTCGAATCCTGGATGGGACTCAACCCAACAAAAGTACAGTGAGTGAGTGAGTTTAGTTTTACGCCGCTTTTAGCAATATTCCAGCAATATCACGGCGGGGTCACCAGAAATGGGTTTCACACATTGTACCTATGTGGGGAATCAAACCCGGTCTTCGACATAACAAGCGAACGCTTTAACCACAAGGCTACCCCACCGCCCAACAAAAATGTAATTTTCTGAGTAAAATTGATATTTTATACTTATCCTGACTCATGCTTATTTGCTTGTCTTCTTCTTCATTGCGAACACAGTGGAACACTTGTATCTCCCAATTGAAGTTCCCTTCAATGTAAAATCACTAATTAGTACTCACCACGAGTTATCTTTCCCCTCGCAAGCGCGTGAACGAGAGCGCCACCTCCCACCATGTGCCTCACTCTCTCCTTTTATAGCGAGCCCAACACTTGAATTTACAGGGAAATCCAAAGTGTTATGTGGGGAGGATGGGAGGGCTTACCTCATGAGTCAGGATAAGTATAAAATATCAATTTTACTCAGAAAATTACATATTTTTCCTTATCCTGACTCATGCTTATTTTGCTTGTAGAATCCTGAACGGCTATGGAGGTGGGAATATATAATACTTTGGATTTTGATAATTAGTGATTTGAATTGTAATGACTGTAATAACCCTATGGGAACTTCATAAAGGCACTGAACTGATGAATTCCTGCTGCTAACTTATCAGCTGCCATATATGGGTTATTACAATATAACTATTACAATATACTTATTATGATAAAGTATGTACAACATTAATACAAAGCTTAAGACTAGTAGACTTAAGTTGTTAATGTGATAGCATAAACTCCTTGAGTTTATAGTTAATATACTTTTATGAAGTAACCAAAGTACTAAGCTTAAGATATGCATAAACTTAAGCTATATGAGTATAGTACTGTGCTTAAGATATAATTTAACTTAAGCTATATAATAGCAAAAACTCCGTAGAGTTTGTTAGCTAATATATATATAAATGTGACCATATTACTGAGCTTAAGATATGATGAAACTTAAGCTAAATATAATAGCAAAACTCCTTTGAGTTGTTAGCTAATATATTGTATGATATAATAACCATAGTACTGAGCTTAAGATAATAGATTGAACTTAAGCAAAATATATATATAGCATGTAGCTATTTAGTACTGATATCAGATAAGTATAAATCTGTAAGATTGACTTATCTTCTCCAAGGAACTGTCAACTGTTGAGCGAGGACCATGGGACCGAAATGGTGGATACCTGAGACGTCCTTGGTGGTGATATCTCTCAGATAGTGGTTGGCAAACACCATATCGGATCTCCAGAAACAACCCTCCATTATGGTATTCAAAGAGCAGTAGCCGTGTAGAGCAAGTGTTGATGCTAGCTCTAATTTCATGAGGATTAGATGGTCTTGGAGGGTCGAGTCCTGCAGCCTTGTAGGCACGTAGTATGACAGTTCTGATCCAAATTGAGATAGTAGTAACGTGAGACTTCCGTCCTCAGCGTAGCTGTAGATAGAGGGATAAATAATCTCTTGAAGTTTCCTCTCCTCTGTTTGGATCGGTGGAGATATATTTTCAGTGCTCTGACTGGGCATAGTGATAGATCCATCGTATCATGAGGTCCAAGTATGGATGAGAGAGCTGGGACATGGAATAATCTGTCTGGTTGACCTGGCAATTGGTTCTTAGCTATAAAATCCCAGCGTAGTCCCAGATGAACGATGTTATGAATATCATCAAAGCGTGTTCTCTCGTAATCCAAAGCGTGAATCTCTGACATCCTGGCAGCCGTAGCTAGCGCTAACAGGAACAAGTTTTCTGGGTCAGTGATTCAAACGATGTAGATTCTAACGGTTCATAAGCCTCACTTGTGAGGTGTTGGAGCACTATATTTAGATCCCAAGCTGGAGCGTGAAACTTCCGTTTGTGATCCTCCAATCGGAATGCTTGTAGCAAAGCGAGTAACTCTGGGGTCTTTGTTAACTTGACGCCTGTTCTCATAGTTATGACAGAGCTTAATGCTGCAAGATAAGTGGACAAAGTTGAGCCTTTTAGATTCTTAGTTTGTCGTAGATAACATAAGTAGTCCGCCACTTGAGGATGAGTAGCATATCTGGCTGTAAATCCTTTCTTTGCAGCATAATTGACAAAACTGTGCCATTTGTCATGCAGTATAAGGTTATGAGTTGAGTTACGCCCAGTGCAAAGCGTGACTGCTTTTGCCGCCTGGCTGAATAACCTCTTATTCAGACATGCCTTGATACAATCCATACGTGAAGTTGGAATACTTCTGGTTTTCCGTGCACTTGTTTGGTGTGCGGATGTATCAATAGATTCGAGCGCTCTGGAAGTTGTAGAATTGGTTGTCCGATTTCTTGAATAAGATTTGGAACCACGCGTTCGCTGGCCAGTAGGGTGACCAAAATCAGATGGAGGCTCTGGCGCTTGACTGATTTTCTGTAAGACTTGTGGGATTAACGCTGGTGGCGGAAAGCCGCGACGCGATTAGAGTCCCTCCCACGATATGCTTAGTGCGTCCGCTGCCCATGCTAGTGGGTCTGGAACTGGCAATAATAAAGTTGTCAGTTGTTTGTTGAATCGAAAGTGGCTTAATAGGTCTACTAGTGGAGATCCTATTTCCATGATTATTTGAGTGAATATCTCTGTGTGGAGCATCCATTCTGTCGCATGCACGGTAGGTGTGGCGAGAGCCGCCTGCTAATACATTCTTTGCTCCTGGAATGTGGCAAGCTCTGACATGTATGTTTAGATTGTTGATTAGATCGAATAATCGGAAACATAGAGACAGTAGGTTCGGTGACCTTGTTGAGCCTTGTTTGTTCACATAAAACGCCACTGTCGAATTGTCTGTGTGAATCATCAACTGAGCCGCTCTGTAGTAGGTTGCTCCAGTGACTTATGGCATTTATGACTGCTTGCATCTCTAGCAGATTTATGTGACATTTGCTCTCTTGATTGCTCCATAGGCCTGACGCTGTCTTGTAGGCGCAGGTGGGCTCCCCAACCTTGTAGTGACGCTGGTTCATCGTAGAGATGTGTTTCCGACCGCGCTCTATTAAGGAGACGCCACGCAAACATTCAATCTCTTGGTCCACCAGAGTAGATGAGGTTTGACGTAATCTGGTAGACTGAACGGTAGAGGGTCCTCGAGATGCGCATTGATGAGGACTTGTAACGACGAATTGAAGCCTGCCTCTGACTGTCAAGTCTTGGGCTGATGTGAGTAGTCCCAATAGGATCTGCCACCGTCAGAGTGGTAGCGGAGAGAGTAAGGCTTGTGGGATTAACTGTTGGATCTTGATCCATCTGTCCTCCGGGACTACTATACGATTCTGGGCTGTTAGAATTTGTGATACCTAGAAATTGCAGATCTTGCGCTGGTTCTAGGTCCGACTTGAGTAGATTTTACTAACCATCCTAGTTGTGTTAGTAACTTGATTATAAAGTTCAGCTGTAGTCTGAGACGCTGTGGATCTGGATCCACTTGTATCCCGGTCGTCTAGGTAAAATGCGCCATGTAAGACCTTGACGATGTAGGTATAAAGCGACAATAGGCTTCGGCCACTCTTGTGAATACCCAAGGGGCGATGAGATTCGAAGGAAATACTTTCCATTGGTAATGTTTCCCCGTCTAGGATAAATCTTAGATATTTCCTTGAATTGGGATGAATCGAATGTGTAGATATGCGTCTTGCAAATCTATGCTGGCCATGTAATCTTTGGGACGAATTAAGTGCGAGTTGCGGTAAGTGTATCATGCAAACGCGCTGGCGGTTTGCTTAGATAGTCTTTGTTGAAGATGCTCATGTTGTATATGAGATCTAAACTTTCCTTGGAATTTTTCTTGGGCACTAGGAAAACTGGGGAGTAGAAACCTGGTACGATGTTTCACTGATCCAGAACTTCTAAGGCCTGTTTGTTTAGCAGAGTAGCTACTGTTTCTCTTAACATAGGTAGTTGTGCCGGTTGAAAGTCGAACCTTGGAGGGATGACTGTTAACGGAGGTATGGCCTTGAGTTGTATTTGATATCCGTGCTGTAGGATGTTGGATACATAAGGATCTTGTAGTAATCCCCAGTTTTCCCAGTGCACCTGAAGGCGTCCACCCACTTGAGAAGGTTGTACTGGAACGGCTGGGGGTGGAAGACTCCAGTCGTTCCGAACCTGTATTTCATCGTCTAAATCCGCGGGAACCTCTGGATGATCTGCCTCTTGCTGATCCTCCTCTGAAATTGCTGTATAGGCGTGAAAAGATTCCTGGGACCTTTTGCTGTAGCCAATTTCTTTTGTCCCGTGCTTTCTGTAGTCCAGAGAATTTAGACTTGCCAGAGTATCTCAAGGATGATTGCTTAATGACGCTCTCGCTAACGTGATCCATGGACTTGATCATAAGCACCTCTCTAGAGTCCTTAGACACCTCTTTGGAGACCTTGTCTATGTTACCACCAAAGAGTAAGGGCTTATGACCATGGGGCAGCGTAGAGTGATTCCGTGAAATTGATTATCCCAATTGCAGGAGGCTAGTAGACCCTGACGACGAGCCATGGTAGTAGCTTCAGTAAGCGCTGACAAATGATCTGTAAGGAACTGATGGTCTCTTTTCTGCATGAGTAGAGCCGAGTAATATTCTATCTTCCTCCTCTGTAGAATCTTTGAACTTGGTGATGAGAGTTTCATAGACAGTTCTAGATCTATTCAATCCAAAAAAAACATTCTCCTAGAAATGGTATCCAACTGGGCTAGTTTGCGATCGTCTATTCTGTAATTTCTGGACTTGGCATCACTGATTAAATGAAAGTTGTCATCAATCTCTTGAGCCTTGGAAAAGGAGTCCATATTGTGACCTGCAAATTTCTTGGCGTTGAAAACCGGGAAATGTGTTGATTGGAATTTCGTAGATTTGGTAAAGGCTGTATCCAGATTAGCTGGAACCGCTGCTATCGGGTCAATAGGAGGTAAGGAGATAGTGTCCGCATCATCTTCCTTCATCAAATAAGTATGAGCTGAGTTCTCGTTCTTAGACGGGGAAGCAAGTTCCAATCCATTCACCATCCAGTATCTAATTTCTGCATCTGAGAATACGATACCTTCTTCCTCTTCTGACGTAAGATCACATATAATAGAGTGAGGTGGAGTCCCTAGATCTGTAAGAAGATCGATTTGCAGAAGATTGTGGTGAACGGACTGACGAAAGTGGCTAGTATAGGGAGACCTTGGAGGAGACTTCCTCGCTTAACGCTGGTGGCTTCAGATAAGCTCGATGAATCCCTTCTAGATATTCGGGGTGAAGATGACTTGGAGCCACTTAACCTTCGCGGATGGCCTTCGGGAAGGTATCGAGTCAGAGTCCCAATCATTATATGGGAGCCTGCTTCGCACAATCCACCTCTGTGTTCTACAGGGTCTGAGCTCGGGTGAAATACTCCTCCTCCGCAGCCCCCTTCGCAGAACTGGTGAAGATCTGATCCTTCGCGGAGGCTGACCTGGGACGCTCTTCGCGAAAGGCTTCGAGCATCGGCTGGGTTGCCCTTCGTGGAGGCACGCTTTGTGGGCTCTAGGGCCCTACACGAAGTCATAGAAGGGCTCTGGGGCCCTTCATGACTTATTACGGGTTGGGCTCTAGGGCCCTTGGCTGAGGCTCTGTAAACCGTGATCGGTCTTCCATCAACATCATGATTTAGTTAACCAGGTCGCCTGGGACGGTCTGCGCTGGCGCTGAGGGTGTCCTCTGTGACAGTGACGGGACCCTCAGTTATAATCTCAGGCATCAGCGTAGGCATCTCTGGTTGGCGCGTGTTGATCTGCGCTGAAGTGACGGTAGCCGATACTGGTCGCCTCTTATGCCGTATTACATCTGGAATGATAATCGGAATGTCATCATCATATAAACACAATTCTGAAACAGGTAGAATGTCAGAAGCAAAGTTTTTAGTAGCCTTCGTGGATTTCCCTTTGACGGTTGTAGACCTGGGGGTTCGAGCGACGCTTGAGACGCACATAGAAGCTCTTCTAGTCTTAGACTGTGATGATGGAATGTCCTGGGATGCAGGCGCTTCTTGATATAGCGATCTGCGCCCCACGCTCTCGAAGGTAACTCAGGCGGAACACCAGACGGTAGAGGTCTGCCAACAGTTGACAGGGTATATCTGACTCTGATCTATTAGCCATGACTGAAGATTGTTTCCAGATCTGGAGTGAGTGAGTGAGTGAGTTTAGTTTTACCGCGACTCAGCAATATTCCAGCTATATGGCGGCGGTCTGTAAATAATCGAAGTCTGACCAGACAATCCAGTGATCAACAGCATGAGCATCGATCTGCTTAATTGGGGAACCGATGACATTTGTCAACCAAGTCAGCTTAAACTGACCAACCCGATCCCGCTAGTCGCCTCTTCACGACAAGATAGTCGCCTTTGTTATGGCGCAAGCACATGGGTTGCTGAAGACCTATTCTACCCCGGATCGCTTCCGAGATCTATCTGCCGCCTGCCTCAAGACGGAATATAAATATTTATCAAAGGCAGAATTAGACAAATTAATACATAATTTGCAGCGTGAAACAATAGAGCATGGAGTTATGCAACTAGGGCATACTAAATGCGGATCGGTAGCAGAGTAACGTAATTTACAAACAGTGCAGATTTTCATTAACGCAAACTGCTGAGCAAACACGGCGAACCGTGAATAAAACAGCAGAAACACGAATAAATATCAATGCATGTTGAATAAGGATCCTAGTTACACCTCTATAGATGAATATAAGAGGTAACAAACTAAATATAAATAAAGGATATAGTGTGGGAGACACAGGCGCTCTCACGTCCAGCTCACTGGGCGAAGAAGGAGAGAGTGAGGCACATGGTGGGAGGTGGCGCCCTCGTTCCCGCGCCCTTGCCAGGGGAAAGATAACTCGTGGTGAGTACTAATTTGTGATTTTACATTGAAGGGAACTTCAATTGGGAGATACAAGTGTTCCACTGTGTTCGTAAAGAAGAAGAAGACAAGCAAATAAGCATGAGTCAGGATAAGGAAAAATATACAAGAATCTGTACTTTACTAAGAAAGTGTAACATATGTTACAAATGACCCATGGTATTGCCAAATGTCCCCAACCTTTTGGGCTGGGTGGGGTCATTTGGTCCCACTTTTCAAATTTCTAAAATGAACACTGCATGACAGACTGCAGTCACGAACATTCCTTCAGGTTAGCACAACTAAGCATAGAAAACATAATGAAATAGTTTTAAATTACTAGTAACCTTTCGTGCTTTCAAGTTTACACAGATTCTAACGCTGGTTGGTTGAGAGAGCGGTCATGTGATCTAAATTTCAAGGTTCATTACTCTTGAACCCCTCTAATCGCTCATACTTGTGTAAACACCGCTCATAATGCAGGTGAACGCTTTTTCGGGTTTCAAGGACCCCAATAATTGGTGATACCAATTTCGAACTTAATCTGTTTCAAGTCACCCCAAGTTTGGCAATGTCACTACCAAACGGATTGCCTCAACATTGTTCCTTTCACAGGAGTTTAATGTTTCGCGAAGTTTGCATGGGTTCATCTGGCGGTTTTCTGCCCGAGGTCTGAGTTTTACAACTGCTCAATAAATTTCACAATAAACAATCACAAATAAATAGAATACAACAAGATCAGCTTCCTATTCGCGCCACGCTAACAACTTCAAGTCGGTCAGTGTATTATTACGCAGTCAAACAAGGTATTTGCATATGAAAAGGTACAATGCCAGTTTGTTAAAATGGTATTGTTTATTTTCTGATATTTGTTTCTGTTTGATACTGTTATTGATTATACTTATTGAAGCAGTTTCAAAACCTCATAACTAATTTGTTGTTATATTTTAAAGATCGTAATACTTTGAGAACTATTTCTTCAAGGGTTGGGATACATGTGTAAAAAAGAAATCGCTGTGTATACAAACATCGCTGCAATACGACGCTCTTGAACCGAATGGCATTACAACATTTTACAGGTATTAAAACACACTAAACAATGATCATCTACAAGTGGGTGGAAAAACGTATGTGTAAACTTCAAAGTGCGAGAAATTATAAGATTGAATGTGTTTGTTGTTTGGGGAAAGAATCGAAGAACGATGTCAAAGCGCTGTTCAACTTCCGCGTGAACTCTGAAGCCAGAACTCCTCGCTCGCTCACACGCAGTTTGAACACCGCTTTGACATCGCTCTCATTTTTCAGTGCAAACACACAAACTGACATAGTTTTAAATTACTAGTAACCCTTTGTGAAGAATATTGTTTACATCTATCAGTTAAACGTAGCTGTCTGAGAGAACAGAAGAATTATTGATCCTTGTGTTGTTCAACCTGTCCACCACCTGCTGCCATGCCTCATGATAATACCAGCCAATACCACATGATAATTGCATGCCATCAATACTTATCCCCCGCAGGTGAGCTACAGTACACAACACTATCATACATTGTTGTACAGCACCATACAGCTATGAACGGTGATGTTATTACAGAGGCCCAGATAAGCTGCGTATCCGGGTAAAATACGCATAGAAAATTTCCACTTACGCATTGAAAAATAATTGTTGCGTACCAATTACGCATTTAAAATGTCAGGTACGCAAAAAGTTTAATACAAATGCGTGAGGAATATATCGATAAAAATCGCTTGCGTAATGGAAAAAAACATCGATTGCTATCAAGTTGAACTGGCAGTATAGGATGAGTGAATTTTTTTTGAAATCATTTCCATTATATTTAAGTTGGTTTTGCTTCGGTATGACATAAGGCAGAACATACCTGCTTAGTAAACTTACTCAATGACATAATACTTAGGTGAGTAAAATGACTGAAATACGCTAGAAATATGTGAAATACGCACATATATGAAAGCAGTGGGTAACGGAAAATGAAATACCCACTCAAAATTCATAATACCCACTCCAAAAAAATACAGTGGGTACAGTACCCACATGAGCTAAATCTTATCTGGAGCTCTGTTATTACTTTACCAAAAGCACCACAGCTGGCGATAAACTGTGTTATATATGTAATGGTTGTGCTATCTGATTCATACATTATTAAAGTCTATAATCCTGATAATATACTAGCATATGAATCCACTTTTGTTTTCCCCTTTAGAGGACATACCACCAGATAACAATGTAGTTGAATAGAGCCTAATATTGAAAACATGACTGCAGAAACTTTAAAGCAGGCAGAATTCTATTGTAAAATATATTAATATTTTTGCTTTCAGTGCATAAAAAGCTCCCTTACATACACAGAAAATAGAGGATGACAAACTGCTGTCACAGCATATTCACTCTCAGTCGTCAATCAGAGCACAATCAAATTAACCCTTCATGTGTCCATAGCCCCACCTTTCTTGCAGTTGAAGGTATATAGCCATCTATGTATATTATAGAAACCAATATTCTATGCTTTGTCGAAGCTAACACAATACGTGCCATTAGACTAACCCATGTCTTCCAAAAATGTTGAAGGTAATGAATCATGTTTCTTAAACCAACCACCATATTTGACGTGTTGAATTACCCCTTCATATGTCAACAGATCACCCCATCTATGATGGTTTGTCAAAGTTAACCCTTTATGTGTCAGAACTCTATCCCCCTCTTCCAACAATGTTATATTTCAGCCCAACCTCTAAGTTGTGTTTGAATTTAACCCTCCTGTGCTACTACACCACCCTGTTTTTCCAAACAGTGCTGAAGTTAACCCACCATTAGCCAAGTGGTTGCCCTGCTTCCCTTTACTGAGCGTTGACTTGATCTTCTCGTAGCTGGCGAAGTACATAGCATGTGCAGGTCCAGCCCCCACCACCATGGCGCTAATTCCACGCACAGTGTTCTTGATGCCTTCGTAACGCAGGATCTTCACGAAACCGTCGGCCAAGCTGCGATAGTTGGCATTGGGATCAGGCACAATACTCTGCATCCGAGTCTAAAACAAAATGAGTGAGTGAGTTTAGTCTTATGCAACTCTTAGCAATATTCAAACAAGAGAAATAAGAAGATGACATATCCCCCCGGCCCCAACATACTTGAAAGAACAAATCATCTGACAGTTACATAAAGTCCAGCTTGAATTTTTTATAGACTAAGTCTGAATCGTTTCCATGGAAACCGGTAAAATACAAATGCCAAAAAATCTGTAAATAGCAAAAGGCACTACTTCAAGATCTGCCTCATATATCTGCCCAGTACTGTTGAAATATATTAAACGGTTTTCGAGATGTGCTCTGGAAATGAAGCCCACCCTTCCTTTTTGAGACTAAGTCCTAATCGCTTCCATGAAAACAGAGAAAATAGAAATGCCAAAATCTGTAAATAGCAAAAGCACCTCTTCAAGGTCTTTCTCATATATCTGCCAAGTTCTGTTGAAAGATAATCAACGGTTTGTGAGTTGTGCTCCCCTCCCTTTTGAGACTAAGTCTGAATCGTTTCCATTGAAACCGGAGAAAAAAAATGCCAAAACTGCAAATAGCAAAAGGCACCACTTTTGGTTCTGCCTCTGCCAAATTTTGCTGAAAGATATTAAGAAGTTTTTGAGTTGGGCTCCGGAAACGAAACCTACACCTCCCTTTTGGGCCAAAGTCCAAAACATTTCCATGGAAACCGAGAAAAATAAAAATGCCCAAAGTCTGTAAATATATCTACCAAGTTTTGCAGAAAAATATTGAATGTTTTTTGAGTTATGCTCCGGAAACAAAATGATTACGGACAGACAGACAGACGGACAAGGTGTCGACTATATCCCCCCGCATTACATGCTGGGAGGATAACAATAACACGGCAGGGGACACCGGAAATGGGATTCACACATGCGGGGAATCAAACCCGGATCTTCGGTGTGAAGAGCTTTAACTACTTGTACTAGGCTACCCCACCGTCCCTAAAACAAATGAAACTGTGATCAGCAGTGTAGACACAGCCATTTGTCCAATAACTGTTTAAAATGATGCATCAAATTCCAGGGCTGCTTTTCAGAACCTAATGAAAAAAATCTAAATATAATGTAATAAAAAATAAGGGGTCCCCTGTATCTAAATACATTAAATAACATAAAAATATAACTAAATGATCAGGATGTTGTTTTTTTTCCATTATATCAAAACCTTATATTCTCAAGCCATAACATAAACTGCAACTGGATTCTTTCACTGAATCCTTATCATAATAATTGCAGAGTTTCCCCACAATCTATGATCCAAAACTGGCTTCAACAACAGATTACATTAAGACATCCCTTCAATAAGGGAATCCCAGTCATTTGGGAGGGCATTGTGATATCATCTGTTACCATGACATCACAATCGACATCATAATCCCTCTGCCTCTGAAGCTGGCTAGCTGGAGTCATTACACTCAAGATACTGGTTATATGAATGTTTACAAACTTTAAAAGTTGGACGATGATGCTGGCTGATACAACATTCTTCAGTGTCTTTTCATATTAAACTGATCAACACTTATGTATGAAAACTTAACATTCCTAAACAAACCTTGCAAAATTGTAACTTTATCATGTTGATCAACTAGTGTTGATATAGTTGATATCAAACTACACTGGGGGAGACTATGTATCATGTACATAAAGGTTTTAGTTGTACATGTCAGTACATATGGTACATATTTCACTTCTCAGGAAGGCTCTGTGCCACAACTGACTGTGGAACTACTACTATTTTCTGTTATGTTACAATGAGTATTGTGCTCATACAATCATTTCGCGGAACTGTGGGGTTACAAAGGTGTTTAGTCTATTTTGAAGTGTGGCTATTGTGCTCCTCTTAGAGCTACAATCATCTCGATGAAAAGTATTTCTCCATGAATAAACACAGATTAGGAGCCTATATTCATATGCAATCAAAATAAAGCATGCAGTTAGAACACACTGAAAGTTGCAGGGACATTGTGAAGTGAGGTAACATGAGCTTTAACGTCGTACTTAAGAATATGTGTATTGTATGTGTATGTGCAGCTGCTTGTACTAGCCCACACTTAAGCTGGTTTTATAGTGCTAGCCCACTGAGATACCATGTCACAGTTAAGTAGGAATACCCCACTCAGACACATTATACAGACTCTGAGCTGACAAGTCCTTGTTGTAGCCATTAATGCCGAGCGTAAGGCAGGGAACAACAAGTACCATATTTTAACGTCTTTTGGTATGACGCGGCCAGGGACTGAACTCGCGACCTTCCGCTCTCCGGGCGGTTGCTCTAACCACTACACCACAGAGGCAGCTTGCAGGGACATTGTAAACCATCTCATTTATGATTATACCCATAGGAACTGAACATGTGGAATGGTGTAAACCTATTTTATTTCAAATAAAATGTTTGAAATTGTTGCAAAATTCTAAAACTTATTTTTATTTCCACACCAAAACTGAAATATAAATCATGTGATATTCCATCCTTTAGCTAACAAATGAACATTTCACTTGCATTACATTTTGAACATGTATATTTGAGATCTTTACAGTGTAGGAATGTCACTTCTCCCATCAACATCAACAAATGACAAAGACACTTTACATAAAACAATTAATAACCCCTAATCCCGCAGAAATCAGATTCATTAAAGATATGACATGCTTCTTTTCAGAAGTGTTCAAAAACGAGGACTCACAACAGTTAAACGAAATAATGAAACTCAGACCGGGGGATCTAGTTTCTAACCCTACATTTTATATATGCTGCACAATTCCTGGCCTAGACACTGACTCAGTACAGCACTTCAACAGGAAGCATGTATGGTGAGTGGCATGTTTCCAGTAATATATTGTAGAGCCAGGTTGGCAAGGTCATGTGTAAAACTGTTTGAAACCAGTATTCCCGTGGTCATGGTGTAAAATAACAAGACAGGGAGGGGGGGATTTGGTGTCACTGTCAACATCCCCAGTCAACCATGGCAATAGAGGGACACGGATTGTACCAACATCAGAATTGTCCCAGAAAAACACTTAAAAAAAAAAAGCAAGCCCCCTTCATCCCAAGACTGTCAAATGGTTTTCCTTAATGGATGTGTGACTTGGATAAACCAGAGACAACTTTATATTACCCGCAGTAATTCATGCAGTAGTGGCATGAAGAAATGTAATGTACTTGGTTAACACATATCATCACATGCTAACTGCGTAGATCGATGTTCATACTGTCAATCACTGGATTGTCTAGACCAGATTTGATTATTTACAGACTGATGTCATATAGCTGGAATATTGCGGAGTGCGGCGTTAAACAACAAAAAAACTAAATGAAGAAATGTCATCAGCCAAGTCATACATATACATAGATTACCTCAGAGTTGAAATTTTAAACTTTTATGCATCAATATAAATGTACATGTTGTTGGTAGGTTCCTTGATATCACGTCAACAAAGAAACCACACTGTAACTTTGGGATATAGTCTCGGGTCAACAGAAAATCAACTAACTCAACAAAATAGCAATAGCACAACAATGTGACGCACTTACCTATCCTACTGATACTATGTATGTCACATTACGGAAATCACCAAATTCTCCAACTGAGCCAATGGATGCTCATGAACTTAATCACTGGATTGTCTTGTCTGGACTTGAATATTGAGAAACAGCTGTTACATAGACAGAACATTGCTACATAGACAGAACATTGCTGAATTCGATGTTAAACAACAACAAAAGGACATTCACTAGGTTTGCTATATTTATGTGTTTAACAAAGATTCAAGAAAATTAGAAGGGTAGTATCCAAATTGCTTCCAGAACACATGGAGGAAGGGTCTATACAAATTAGGATTACCTTGAAAAAGGGCAGTCCTAAACTACTTTAAACGAGTATAGTTTTATGTCAATTTTAGCAATATTCCAGAAGTTTCATGGCAAGGGACACCAGAACAAAATGGGCTTCATACATTGTACATATTGGGAGAATCAAACCTAGGTCTTCAGCATGACAGGCTGACGCCGTAACCATTAGGCTACTTCACCACCCCTCAAACTGTTTTATGATCATTACTCATAAGGATGTCATGCCAGTGCTTGTTTTCTGTCACTGAATTTGATTTCTTGTGCTTCAGACACACTCTACAAGTCATAAAGGAGCCCTCGAATTATTACACGTACAGTCATGACGGTACATTGACACGTTTTATTCCACAAGTTGACTGTAAGACCCCACATGACTACAGATAAGGCATGAACACATGATGAAGGTGCATTCACTTATTTTATTCAACTGGATGATTTCAAGACAACGGAATTGTAACAGATAAGTCATGAAACAACAACACATGATGTCATGAAATATAGTTTTTAATTAGACAATTGCTAAGCCTCTATTTGTTACAGTTAGCTCTTAAAGTCAACATTTTTTTTCTTACTCAATTATTTCCTGCTTTGTCTTAAAATTGAGCTTATTAGACTTGTAATATTTTTACTATTATATCGCAGGCAAGGAGTACATTCAGTTGATGTAAGGAATGCAACAATCAGTTGATTTACAGGTAGTTTAAACTTTAATTACAACCCTGGAACAGGTAGAACTGTATTACCTGGGAGCTCATCACACACTCATTACATTCATTACCATAATCATATATCACATTTAGATACATAGAAGAAATGTGGACTACAACTTGAAATGCAAATCGTTACTTACAAGTGGTCATGTGGACTTGTCAATGTTTGACCTTGACCTTGATACTATAGTTAGAAGCACAGGTAAATTTACTACAAGAGAGGTGAGGTGAAATTGGGTTTAACGTTGTGCTTGTGAATATTTCGCTCATATGACGACGTGCATGCGTGTGTAAATGTATGTGTGGCTGCTTGTACTAGCCCACACTTAAGCTGGTTTTATAGTGCTAGCCCACTAAGATACCATGCCGCAGTGAAACATGAATACCCCACTCAGACACATTATACTGACTCCTAGCCGACCAGTCCTTGATGTACCCATTAATGCAGAGCGCCAGGCAGGGACTAACAAATACCATGTTTTAACGTCTTTTGGTATGATGCGGTCGGGGATCGAACCCGCGACCTTCCGCTCTCCGGGCGGACGCTCTAACCACTACACCACGGAGGCGGTTACTACAAGAGATGGACTTAAATATACTCATTACTGACATTGCTAAAATGGGGAGAATGTGACTTCAGGTAGCACATGATGGTGCAGGGATGAATTTAACACAATCAATAGATCACCAAACATTATGTTACTACAGATGTGGCATAATGTGGACTCTGTTTCCAGAGTCCTATTATTTCAAATTTATTAATACTTGACCCCAAATCTGACATCTGGAAGTCAGTAAACCATCTTTAATGTTTATTTTGTCACAGGACCATATTTAAGCCGTTTGTGTAAATAATGAAGTCAGGGTAGGACAAACCAGTGATCAACCTGAGAATAACTTTCCCCCCAGTCAGGGTTTCCATGACAATCAACAAACCTAAAGACTTCTTTGGAGAAACACATAATAAGGTAACTGAGATCATTTTCTATACCAAAGTTCCAATGGGGTTAATTTGGGTCAGAGTGAGGTATTGACTAATTCTGCTACTGTTCATGCTCTTAACATGGGCGGTTCACGAGAAAACAGTATCTGTTGTCCAATGAATGATAGCCGTAACCAAGTCACCAAGTCACGATCATCCGACATTTTTTAACATGCTATTCTGACATATCATAATATCAAGTTTAAGAACAATTTAATTTCCATGCAAGTGTGTGTCAGTGTGTGGTCTGACAGTGTTTGGCACGATGCAGAAAACCTGCATATTTGACTCAAAGTCAAAAGCTATCTCAAATACACAATGAATTTAGAAGTTTGTGTCATTGTTGACACAATACTACTGGGCCCTTAGTTCAGATAATCTAAACTTAGTTTCTGTGCAATGACTGTTTTTTTGACTGCTCAGTGCTGATTAAATACCTGACCTGCCTTACCTTGTTTTTTGTCATTATTAAACAATCACAGTTGATGTCTTGAAGAAAGTTCCAAACTGAAGTCAACTCCGAAAACATGTCAATGACTCCCTCTCATGACACCAGGGGGTCATGATGACTCCTAAATTTTTATGCCGAGAGCAAACACTGTAGTCTGCTTGGACTATTAATTGCTGAATTTACGGTTCTGCATGGATACCCAATTCAGACCTGCGTATGCTGATTCCAAGCCGACAAGTCCTCCACAGTTACCCATATGGTGAGAGCCAGGCAGGACAAGAAGAAGTACCATCTCTTTACATCTTTTCGTATGAACCAACCTTCCATTGTCTGGGCAGAAACTCCATCCACTAACCCATGGAGGCGGTACAAACTACCGATATTCATAGAGTCTGGTTTTAACACTGCTCCAGCATTAATTCAATTACAAGATGAAATGTCAGTTTAGTCAGCCATGTCTCATCGAAAATAGTTGCTATCAATGCACAGGATCAAGCAGGGAAACATTGATCACTGGTTGATCAAATGACATTCCAAATGTTTTGGTTGAAGGTAAGTTAATAACGTTGACATGACACAGATGGGCCCAAATGATACCCAGTGTGTATCCAAGGGACCTGCATATGTTTTGAATGGATGCCTGCTTTTAAAGCATCATCAATGAGGATGATGTAGCTTGACAGCTGCGTTGTCACTACCGCCATTGAACACAATATCTGATAGAATATGAAAATGTGCTTATAATTTCCAGCGAGTCTGATGGCTCTACGTCACAACTCTGTACTATGACAATATTTACCTCACGTGCACCTTGCTAAGTTATATAACTCGTTGGTCACGAACTGGTATTACATCATCAACACTGATGTTGGGACCTGACATGCGAAAGTTGGCCCCTGCGATACCCGCCCCAGCCCCTCCCTGTGTCACCCCGGGTAGGCCCTCGTGTATTTACCTTCACGCAGTCAACGGGGTACATAACACAGTGTTCCATGACTCCGGCCGCCGCCCCTGCCACCATGTGGGTGACCATAGTTGATGATGCTGGCAAGCTTTCATATGGGTCGTCTTCTTCCATTGTAGATTATATAACGCTCAAGTCCGAGACTGTTTCACACGCCGATCTTTACACGCTGCCGCTTTTAACTGCAATACACACACGTACCCTTGCGGAGCTCGCTAACCGAACTCCGCCATGCTTGCGCTGTGGCAGAAATGTACTACTTTCTAACTGACTAGTTACATTTATGTAGAAAACTCGCATCAGTCACGGTCCGGTAGACACTATATTAGTTGACGTTTCAACACCTGTCAGGTCACTCGAGACGCAGAATAGTGGCTCAGTTGTTATAATCTATGTACAGAGATACACACGTCACATGACTCTCGGAAAGGATTGCGACTGTATGTCATGTATTGATTGGGCCGCCCAGTTTAACAGGATATATATTCAGTAGAGCGAACTTCTTTTTTGTCCCCTGTATTGTATTGTACAGTTTAGTATTGTAAATAATGTGTCAGCAGAAATTCGGAAAAGAAGGTCGATACTTTGGAATTAAAATATATAAGCATTTATTGTGTGTCGTGAAAAGGGTACTGCGACGTGTAAACACTAAAAATATCATTGGCCATTTTTGGTTATCTAATGATAACTATTATCCTCTGATATTTTACCATTCCCCACCCCATGTATTTCATATCCACGCATTTGATCCGTTAAAATCAGATTATCTTCGCATAGAACTTGTCAGTTTGGACAGGGCAAAAGAGGAACCTCTGGGATTCTATCAACTTAAAATTTCATTTACTAATCATAGCTGTACACAATTCACGAGAGAGTAATGATTTAAAAATACGTAATTTGGTTTTCATCTTACTGGAGCCATCGGGACTTATCGTCAGTTTCAAGCGACAAGACGAGTTATGAAGTAAAGGGTAGTTGTGAGGGTTACCTATTATCTCGCGTCATTACGTTTTCTGACAGAGTGTCTCTAACTGGGACGTATGTGAACCTCACTCGACCTGAGTTCGTTTCAGGTCAAGACGCACGTAAACTCCAACCGTGGATTAGGAATTTGTCTCGACAAAAATAATGACAAGGTAACTTAATAAATTACACAAAGTATTCAGTACATGAAAGTAAATAAACGTACGTCCTACCTCGTAAATAGCACATTTTGAACCTTCAACTAAAAACGTGTAAACTTGTGTATCCCACATTTATTTCACACGGTCAACTACGGAAAGTTAATTATATGAATTTAAAATAGCAGTTTGTCTCCCTATAGGATATGATTCAATTATATGTTAATATGTATGCATCGTTTTTCAGACACGGACGTTGGCATCTGCTGAAATCATTTCAACTCAACGAAATCCTCGAGTTAACTCTGACAGTCTGTGTTGAAGCTGTTCAGCGTGTATTTTTACAGAACCGCAACGTCACGTACCGATAATACTTTATTTCATACTAACTCTCAATCCAAGATATTATCACATGCACTCGAGAACAGGCGTTGTTTTTACAATTAATTTGATGAGCACCTGAGTTGTGCGTGTGCATAAGGGGGCAGAATTTGACTTCAGTAACGCATGGAATAGCTCCTGACACGCCCCGGGTCACGTACTCGCCTGTATCTGTCAAGATTGCAAACGAAATCTTCATATTTGTAATATGCATGAGTAAAATTGCTAATTATAGCACACCACACACCACACACCAGCAACGCGGATTTTCGTGGCTGTCGACCCAACAGAATAGGTCACCTGTGTACACGTAACATGTGTGATACCCCAATAAATGAAGCAGCGCGCACACAGAACCTCAGTGCATCTGACCCCTACTCCAAGATGTCTAGGCGCGGTGGGGTAGCCACACACCACACACCAGCAACGCGGATTTTCGTGGCTGTCAACCCAACAGAATAGGTCACCTGTGTACACGTAACATGTGTGATACCCCAATAAATGAAGCAGCGCGCACACAGAACCTCAGTGCATCTGAACCCTACTCCAAGATGTCTAGGCGCGGTGGGGTAGCCTAGTCATCTAAGCGTTTGCTCGACCCCGGTTCGATTCCCCACATGGGTACAATGTGTGAAGCCTATTTCTGGTGTCCCCCGTCGTGATATTACTGGAACATTGCTAAAAGCAGCTTAAAATCATACATACTCATTCATAGAAGCCTGAATAACTGATATGTATACCGCCTGTAGAGATATCTCTGCGTTTGATCAGCCCTACAGGATATAAGGTATATTAATGGCAGCCCGTGTTGTACACCATACTCAACATCTAGTCATATTCATGATTAATGTTGCCGCCTACCTGCATGGGATATGAATTTAATAATGTGATGATAAAATCCTTTTCGATAGTTTAAATAACAGGAGCGGTGTTCATTACTATCTAGGAATGCTTTAGCTTTTAGCTTATCAAATTGACTGTCTTGTTTCGAAAAAAAACAATAGAATTTTTTTTATATAACATCCCCAAAACGATAATTATTATACATATATAGAAGGGGAGTGGCGGAGACAGCGTGACAGTAACTGTTGGTTATATATATTCTTTATCTGTGTGTAGTCATTCACTCACTCACTCACTCACTCACTCAACACATGATGTGCTGTACACATTGTAATTGGCAATAGAGACAGATCATGTGCAGTGCATATACCATACATTCCAATCTACGTGTGCCGTCTTTTAATTCTACAGATACACCAGATATAGTTTTTTTATATCCAATGCTACATCGTAGCAGTTTCAGATATACACTCTTCAAAAATAAGAAACGCATTAGCCATTTTAGAAGAAGTTATAGCGTTAGTTTAAGAGCAATTATTTCATGTAGTTTCAGTGGTAATAGGTTGAAAATTCACGCCTATAGACAAAAAGATCGCCAACACAACAGCAGCCTTTATTGTTGTGTTTCTGTTTACTTGAGTGAGTTGAGTCCATAAGATGGCGTCAAAGTCAATACTTTGTATATGGCTACCATTGGCAGCAATTACTGCTCGGATAAGTCGACAAAGTCGCTCTTGCGGAATTCTTCCCCTCTCTTCCTGCAATGCGATTGCCAAATGTCGAAGTGTCTGAGCCTCTGAGCCGTGTTTTAACGTTGACGTACACGTCGATCGAGTTCATGTCACAGGTCTTCTATCGGGTTTAGATCTGGTGATCGGAAAGGCCATGGCAAGACATTGACGTTAGAATATTGGCAAGGTAGCGCACCGTGACGCGTGCTGTATGCGAAGTAGCAATATGATGGAACATCTCCCGCTGTCGGCCCATAATTGGAACATGTGACGTGCAAGGACTTCGTTGATGTACCGATTTGCTGTCAAATTCCCCTCAACCACCGCTAAATCAGATCTTTAATCAGATCTTTGTGTGCTGGATATCTTACCCCACACCAAGACACTTTCTCCACCGAACCAGACTCGCCTCCAGTTTCTAAGGTTTCAGTTCCGGACTTCACATATTCTACCCATGTGGGGAATCGAACCCGGGTCTTCGGCGTGACGAGCGAACGCTTTAATCACTGGGATATCCCACCGCACCCGGCAAAACGACAGAAAAAGATCTTTCACCTAATTTTGTTTTGGGGTCTGGTGCAGTTAAATACATTTGATCGACAAAACGTAGGTTGTGACTTGACTTGTGATATGAAAAATGAATGCGAAGATACGGTGGGTATTGGGGATGGTGAATGGGGTTGAAGGTGATGTTGAGCAGCTTGAACTTTAGCCATTGTTTGACAAGCAACCAGTAGAGACTCGGTAGTACTGGTGTGATGTGTTCTGTGGATTTAGTTCTTGTAATGATACGAGCCGCAGTGATCTGCCTACGCTGCAAATGGGTCATCGTGTAAGAAAGCGTTACAATAGCTTATCCTGGACAGAACGTAGCTGTGGACAAGCATCTTTGTGGTTCCAGCATGAAGACATTGACGGATTTTATTCCAATGTTTCTAAGGCGAATAGAAGCTGTCCTTCTTTCCCTGAGGAAAGACATTCTCAAAGATATAGTATGACCAGAAATTATTGAGAATTTTAGGAATATGTTTAATTGGATTTCAACCTTGACCAGCTATCAAGTGTTTGGTTTCATTCAAGAGAGACAACTCCGTTAATCCTTTTTCATTAGTTTGTGAAGAGTTATCCCCCTTTGCTTACTTGCTAGCAGACGACATTTTCAGTGATCCTCGGTATGGATGATTTAGAGTAGAGAAAGTTGATTTTAGAGGATTATAACAAGGACATCAGATCAGCTAAAGTGATTTCAAGTAGAACAGACATCCCTTTGTCCACTGTTTATCGTGTTTTGAAAAATATTGCAAATGGATATGGCATTGAGCACCAGGGAGGCGCAGGTAGGCCCAGAAAATTGACTGTCGGTGACAGGAGGCGGCTTGGTATTCTTGTTTCTAAAAACAAACGAAGGAGTTTAGAAAACTTAAAGCTGGATATGATTGATAAAGGAACTTTGGCTGTCTGTAAGGAAACAATTAGAACTGAGCTGCATGCAATGGGTTGGCAGAAAAGTCGAGGAATTACATCACCGATCATGAAACCTGAACAAAAGGAGCGAAGGTTGAACTGGTGCTTACAGCATAGAAATTTTAACTGGGACAATGTGATTTTCTCAGATGAAAGTTCTGTGAGGCTGTTTCCTAATACACTGAAATTCTGGACCAAACAAACTGAAAAACCTTTGTATCAGCGCCCAAAGTACAGTCCGAACTTTAACGTGTGGGGTGGCATATCTGTGTTAGGGGCAACGCCCCCTCTGTGTATTTGAAGGGGAATATGAACAGTGAGCTGTACACAGATATTCTCGAGGGACATTTACTTCCATCTGCTCACGTGTTCCATGGAAATGTTTGGATTTTCCAGCAGGACAACGACCCAAAACATCGTTCAAAGCATTCACAGGCCTGGTTTCGGACCCAAAATATGACATTATTAGATTGGCCAAGCTATAGCCCTGACCTAAATCCAGTAGAAAATGTTTGGGGACTTATGAAGGAAAGTGTCAATAAGAAAAATCTGACAAATATTGCTGAAATGAAAGAAGAGGTGGTCCGATATTGAGACAGCATGGACCACGACTTTCTAACTTATTTGATCAGTAGTATGCCCCGCCACATTGAAGCCTGCATTGCTGCCCATGATGACTTGACAAAATACTAACTGTTCACCTGTCTTTGAATCTGGAGTTATGTTCTGCTAATATTCACATTAATATGTGAGTAATGAGTGAAAAAAATATAAAAGATTACAATCTTAAATTCTCAATAATTTCTGGTTGTACTGTATAAC